TTCTCCAAGAATCGTTGCTGGTTTGCCTTCAAATGGACAAAACTGCTTAAAGGGCCGGACAAGGCTTGGTTTTAGATTTTATTGTTCTGTCTCTGCATTGTGTTGAACCGCGACACGCAACGCGTGCTCCGGCTGGCCGCGTTGCGTACCGCGTAGCCTATAAGATGATGAAGCGTGGCGGACTCGTCGCGTAAGTCATCCGCGGGCGTGACATGTGGCGATGCGTTACGTGTTGCTGGTACGAAAGTTGCGTATCGCCTACTTGCGCCGTGCGTGTCACGTGCGTATGCGTTGAGTGTCATGCGCGTCGCGTACCTCGACGTAAGCGTATCATGAGGATCAGATCTATGCGGTGCGTGTCGCGGGTGTATGCGTTTCATTTCGCGCGCTAAATTCACAGGAAACCTTTCTGAGCAAATTCCAGAGTCATGTCTTCCATACTCCTTTAATTTAATTTTTCAAATTGTTTCCATATGTCTAAATCATACCGGAGTCTTCTAGTCTTCTAGTGTTGAGTCTTCTAGTGAGATGAGGGATCTGTCCAAGCCAGACATCCTTGCGCAAATTTTTGCTAATTGGATGCATCAGCAACCCTTTCCACTTCCCATTCCGATCCCGAGAGCCTTGTCACCCCCAACAAAGGCCGGGGAAACACCTAGTCAGTTGTAGGACCGGGTACCCTACACACTAGGGCCCAGAGGGCCCAAAAAGCGCCCCAAAAAGGACCCGAGCGTACGCCTAATTTGGCACCGACACCCTCGCTCCATATCCCATTCTCGGGCCCACACACCCCTTTGGGTTGGGCCGGCTTCTCCACTTCCTCTTCCGGTTTTTTCGGGTCCATGCGCTCAATTTCTGGAGTGCTCGTTCTCCTTTTTCGGGGGAGCAACAGGAGTAGCAGTGACTCGTCATGGCCTTTCTGCAGGCTTGAGGGTTCTTTGCACCGGAAATGCTGAGTTTAAAGGGGAGTTGAGAAGCCTGACAAGGTGAGCCCTTCAATCGTCGTTTTTTGTCTTGTCTTCGCCGTTCTAACATAAGCGCGGGATTCGACCCCCTTTTGACTAGATGTCGACGACGGCGCGACGCACCAAATGACACAGCCGGTTTGCTCCTGTTTTTCAGCATTTTCTTAGGCTTGGAGGATCACCGCAAAGTTGTCGATACCCAGTCGGCAGAAGAGTAGATTCAGGCACTTCACTACTCTTATTTTCTCCCCATTCGGCCCCGCACCTTGGGAACCAATATTCAGTTCTGGTCCAAGCCCCGGGGCGCCAAAATTTTTAGGGGCGGGAGGTGCACTTTGTCAATGGCGGATCATAACACGAGATGAGCCTCGAGGAGGCGGCACCCCAGAAAATTCAATTCCGGAAGTCGTGTTTTGCACTTCGGGAGGGCCATATAATTTTGTGGGTTGAAAAATTTATCCCCTCTGGCTGTATGATATAAAAAATGTTACGTTGCGAGTTACCCGATCATTTTCAGTTGAAATTTGTTTTTTTTCGACGCTGAGGACCGGAGTATATTGGCCTTTCTTGCTATCAAGAGTCCTTACACCTATATTTTGACCCGCGGTAGTCCAGATAAGTTTAGATACCTTAAATTTACGCTTTTTAATAGGCAGTAACCAGGTCTACAAGCCCACTACCTAATTTTTTGGGTTCAACCCGACAAGCGTATGTCGGCCCGGGGATAAGTAAGTATATGTCGCACCCCAGTCAACGGGATGTTCTATAGAATGCCCTCTTCCCCTCATGCTCCCTTCATCCGCTCCTCCTCCTCCTCCTCTCTCACCTAATCTGATCAGAGATTCCCCTCCGCTTCGCATATGCGCGCACCCTCGCTCAAAAAGGCGGCAACCCCAGAAAAAAGGGCCAACTTCAGGTTTCGTTTTTCCTAGGAGGGGTTCACTTTAGTAGCCGGGAAAGCTATAGTCGGGCTGAATTTTTGGGGGGGGATACCTGGAGGGAGATTTCAATGATAAACTTTTGGGTCCTAAACGTCCGTTGAAGTCTAAAGTCTATAAGCAGGGCCAGAAATTCCCGAAAAAACTTTATATACGTCGTTTTAGAGGTCTATTGAAGCGAGCGGCCCTGAGCTTGCGGATTTGTCCTATTGCGGGTGTTTGAAGGGACCGTTGAAGCCACGTTAATGCTGCTAATAGAAAGCCTCAGCTGATACTTTTCGATTGTTTTATCGGATGCTGATTTCTATTGTTTTGGCTGATTAATGGGACGCTGAAGGGTAAAATTTTGTCTTCTATGAAAACTAGAGATAGCCAAAACTTAAAATAGTCCGTTTTAAAGGGGCGGTAGAGTCTAATCCTCATGGATACTGGCTTCTACATTTCGATTTCGTCCATTAATTCACAATTTTGTAAATTGAGTATTCGTGAATTTGTATCTTAATGGATTTCACTGTCAATATTCTTTTTTAGATCTTTAATATCTTTTAGATCTATCCTGATCGCAGCGTTATTCCAATATCCTCGTGTTTTTAGAATCGTTTTTGAGCCGTTTCCGGTTTTTCGAAGCCTTGACCGATCCGATCACCATGAATCACTTTTCCTAAGCTTCGGATTTTCTATATATTTTTCGTTACTGCACATATTCCTTATATTTACTCTGTATGTGTTGTCGACCCCCCCACAGCCAGCTCTTCTCCCCCGCAATCCCCACTCCACCCCACTGAATATATTGCTTTTGGTCAGCTGGCCCGGCACTTTCACAAACATTTTTGGGACCCAGTCCGCCGGGGTCGTCCGCGAGAAAAAATATACGACACCTCTGCAATCCCAGAGGATCGAAAATCGAATCAGGCTGCTGAAACTTTGGACGCCTGGTCGTTTTAGAGTCGAATTTCGACTTTTTATGCTGTGCTCGATGTTTTTATTATGCAAATGAGGTTGGAATTGTTTTTTTAAAAGAGCTTGCGAAATTCTTGGGGTTTATAAGCTTTCGGGGTTTTCAAGATTGAATCATTTTTAAGGCTTTCACAAGGAGCAAAATTTTTTAAGTTGGGTTTAGAATTTAATTCTTTACGTAGATAGAATTTAATGATTTATTTAGAGCATATTTATATTTACATTTTTAATGCCCCTCTTGATGTTGATTTTAAAAAAATGTATAGTATTTTCAATTTTTAGCAGATTTCATGGTCTTAAATTTTAGTTATAACCTCTGTGTTTTATTTGTAAAGCCATCCCCGCTTTTTTTCTGGGACGCATCAGGCAAAAGCCCAATTTACCCAACCTACAAATCTCAAATATTCATTGTTATGTTCCCCAGACCATTTCCAGCCTGCCCGACGTCACCAACACGTTCAGAGCTACGGTACCGGGGGCTAGTTATAAATTTCACGCCTCAAAAAGGTGCGCCAAAAATATTCGGATTTCCCCGTGGACGGCTAGCCATGGCCAAGCAGTCCCATAAAATTTTATCGAAACGCCAATTCGGCGAGACGCTTTTTCCCATAGAATGTCTGACAGGGGGCGGACAGCCAATTTCAGCGAATTTCGATGTAGGCCAATTCGAATCTTGAATTCAGAATTTTCACATTTTCCAGGGACAGGATTTTAACGAAATTGGGGGCCAAATCAAAAGGCCACCGACGACAAGAGGGTCGGTGCCCGGGAGAATCGCATAATTTAGCGGACATGGGAGGGGTAGAAATTGGAGAAATCGTTGTTATTTAGGACAAGGACGGGAGCAGCGCCGGTCATTTCTTCATCTAGAAATTTTCCCGATGTGTCTCGAATGGACCTGCACTATGGTGGGGGGGGTACGGTAGCTTGTTCTCTACGCGAGATTCCAAGAATATTAGCATGTTTTGTGACTTGTACTTTTCTGAATGATCCCGACGCTTTCAAAAAACCATTTCTGACGGTGCACTGGTGACGGTGTACTGGTGCGTACTGACGTAGTTCAACGTACGGACGTACTGTAGAGTCCTAACGCCCTGGATCGTACTTATGTACTGGTGCATAAGAGGATACTGTGCATTACGCACATGGCTTACGTCCAAGCCTATTAAAGCATAGGAAAGTGCGGTAGCCTATCTAAGAGCATACGCTAGCGTACGGACGTATCGAGGCGTACTCGATTCTCTAGATTTCAGAACATTCAATAATATTGCACCGGATTCCGATTTACACCGCTTTTCCTAGGCATTGGTTACGGTATTTCAACTTTAAAGGGACCGGGAAGCCTCGTTTTAGCATGTGGAAAACTACAGTCCTCTTTACGCCCACAAGATTACGGTAGCTTCAAATAAAATCAAATAAGATTTGTACCTTGATCCTTTGATCCCCCGAATATTTTTGTGCCCGGAACTTTGACTCACTCATTAATCCATCCTACTATATCCACTAATCCGATTTTCCGGCCAAGAAATTCGACTTTCTCCCTTGTTACCGTACCCCAGGCGGTGGTGGTACAACCCTCTAACGACTCGTACACCGCAATTTTCCGCTTTTCCGCTCCATTCATCTGGCCGGTGGCGACGGCAAGCAGCCCAAAATTTACGATCAAAATAAAAATTTGGGCCCCGGCGAGGACAACCGATATATCTCGCCTCCCCAATCTCGTGACGAGCCATAAATTTTACAAGGCTTGTCGGCATTTTCGCTTTTTTGTAATTTTATTTTTTCGCTGATCTTTTTATAAACAGAAAGTCCGATTTGAGCGTAAAAATCCACAATAATTACAAGACAGCGCTAGGTATACTGTAATTTGCGGTTTTCTTTCAATTTGTAGTGTATTTCGGTGTATTTTTAGTAATGCCAGAGAGACAAAATCTAATCAAAAATTCTTATTAATAAAATTATAAATAATCAAAATTTAAAAAATGATGAAAGCTAAACTAAGACTTACCGTAATTCAAGAATTTTTTGGGCATGTGTTCCCTTTTTAATCCCGTTTTCGGCAATTCTATCCGTCTTTTCCATACGTTTTCTTTTCAGTTTTCCGAATTTATTTTTTATAAGGTTTTCCTTTTTTCAGAAAATGGCTACGCCAGAGCCACGGGCAACGTTACCGCCTGTAAAATTCGATTTCGACAAGTATTTCCCGCAAAAGGTCGAAACGAGCTATACGGCAGAGTTGTTCATGTATGGATTGGGGTAAGCAGAAAAAACAATAATATTCAAAACCAATTCAGAATATTTATTGGGGCGTTCGCCGTGTTTTTCACGGCTCGCCGGATATTCCGGGAAAAGCGCAGTAATTTGGTATGAATTTAAGATGTAGAAAACTATAAAAAACCATTTTTTAGGTGATAGCCGCCCGATTGATGTCTTATAAAGTGTCATTAACCATCGCTGATCTGATTATATTATTCGTGTACGCGCCCACGCAATTTATATGGATACTGACGTATCATGTAAGCTTTAAAACGGATAGGCTTTTTAAGACGACACGATTAACAAGATTTGAAGTTTGCTAAAACGTGCATGTGCTACCGTAGTTTTGAGTCAGACAGTTTTTTGCAAAATTCCTCCGCACTCAACTGGATTTTCAATAGGCTAATCCAAAACTAACACATTCTCCAATAAGTGCACTTGAAGGCGCGAAAACAGGATTTCCAGATCTTCCGCGATAGTTACAAACTAGCAAAATTTGGAGAGAGTTTAAAGTACGCTTTTAGCAAATTATAGCGATGATATAACCCCCTAAAAACAGAAAAACACCAAATCGAAATTGATAAAATTACAGAAAAATTTTAGTGGTACGGCGGTGATCTACTTTGTCGATTATACAAATTCGTGATGACGTTCGGGTTCCACGTAACGGCAAATATGCAGGTACGCCTCAAAAACGTCATTTTCAAGTATCGGAAAACAGCGTAATACCAAACATTTAACGTTTTGTCTTTGAAAAATTCTTGTAGGTCCTAATCGCACTCGATCGACTATACATCACCACTCGGTTGAATCACGTCGGGAATACGCGGAAAAATAGTCATGGACGGGTAAGGAACTAAAATTATAATCTGAAGAGTAGCATATCCTTTTAGTTTGGCCAAAACCACAACGCCTACATCATCCTGGCGTATTTATTGGCTTTTTCGTGTGCTTTGCCGCAGCTTTTCGTCTTCCAGTTGTACTACATGGAGGAGAAGCACCCGCAGTGTTCGAGTATATGGTAGGTTATTTCACTCTCTCTCTCTCCCTCGCTCTCTTTCTGTCTCTCACACACTTGCTCACACCCGCACTCTCTCACTTTCTCTCTCTCTCTCTCGCTCTCTCTCTCTCTCTCTCTCGTTTTCGCTCTCTATCTCTCTTTCTCTCACTATCTCTCTCACGCTCTCCCCCGCCCTCTCTCGCCCTCTCTCGCACTCTCTTGCCCTGTCTCTCTCACTCTTTCACCCCCTCACCCTCACCCCCGTTCTCTTGCTCTCTCTCCCTCCCTCTCTTTCTCTCGCTCTTTCGCCTGCCGTTAACTCGTAATCTCGCAGAGTTTTCTTTACCTTTAAAATGCCCCAATTTCAGGATTATCTCCCGCCTCGTCTACTACAAAGACAAAGTGAGCATGGTGGTCGACGAGTTCTACAAGGCCACCGGGGAGATGCCAGACCTGAAGCTTCTGACCCACGAGAACATGGATGATCTCTACAAGTTTTGCTACAAAAACAACATCTCAGTGCCGGCCGGGATCCCCAAGTTGGAGGAGGAGTACTACAAGCTGCTGTTTATCGAGCAGGTCAGCTCATAGAGGTGTTTAGCCCTTAAAAGCTACTTAGTCTATTCGTTGGCCTCCTAGCAAAAAAATTTGGGGAGTTGAGACAACTTCAAGCCGTTCAGGTCTACAACATCTTCCACCTGATTTCCATCTGCGTGATACCTTATCTGATCGAGTTGCTCTGCTACGCCTCTATCCTCTATCTTCTGAAGGGCGCCAAGAAGGGGCAATTCTTGAACTTCAAGGATATCACCAGAATGAAGTACTGCTTTGGACTATTGTTCCATGATTTTAAAGGGTCTCGAAGCCAAATCCACAGGAGTCTCGACTTGCTGATACCTTTAAGACAGTCCAAACAACAATTGCTTTCAGATGGGTCTGGTGCGCCATCCCAAGGTTCTTCCGCCACAAGCCCAAGTACAAGGAATCCAAGAAGAAAGGGCTGGTATGCAACGATAGCTTAACAAATTCAGTCTTCAGATGAAAATCGACATCGAAATCCAGAAGTTACCCCTGACGGAGTCGAGCCATGACGACGATGAAGCCACGGTCACGAGAAGCACAATATTGCGTGAGTTGCGGGCAAAACTGGGAGAAAGCGGCTTCAAAAACTTAAAAACAAAGTTTTGCAAGTCGGATAGCCCCAAAACAGTGAGCTACCGTCATGAGAACCGCGGTTTTACGTAAGTTCAATGCTAAACTGAGCAAAACCAGCTTCAAAAACTTCTAAAACAAAGTTACAAAGCCGGTCGACTCTAAAAATTCAAATTTCAAGCTAAAAATATTAAATTTTGCTCCTATAGCCGCCAGAACACAAAGAAGTTTCTCTTGTGTTGGTAGGTATCGAATTCTACGGATTGAATTTATGAAGAATTTTGGCGTGAAGGTCTTTGCCCTCTTTGAATGCCATTTTTCGGAATATTATTCATTGTCGTTGGATTTTGTGAACCCTTTGATCTATTTCTGCCGGTTTAGCCGAAGACACCTCAGCGCGCCGATCATCGCTTCTGATTTCCTTCGACGGTCGCAGCACGATAAGCGACGGGCCGACGGTCGGCCTGATTTCGACGGACTCGTCGAATCCGTCTTCCACCACCTCGTCGAACGTCAGCACCGAGAGATGTGTGTGATTTTCGGGTTTTCTTACTGTAGATGGTAGAGGTGTGGCTTGTGATTAGAAGCATCTGTACTTTAAAATATCTATATTTCGTTTTAGCAACCCAAACAGCATCGCCGGGGCTTCTACTATCCGTGCAGACTGCGTTGCATAAATATGGAAGAGTGGGTTTTTCACCAGATCCTGGGGAATAGTGAGAGAGAGAGAGAGAGAGAGCGCGAGAGAGACGCGAGAATGAGAGCGAGCGGGATGGAGAGTGTGTGGGAGAGTGAGTGAGAGCGAAAGAGAGCGAAATGCGTGAGGGAGTGAGTGAGAGAAAGTGAGAAAGCTAAAGAACGAGAGAGAGCGAGCGAAAGAGAGAGAGAGAGAGAGAGAGAGAGAGAGAGAGAGCAACAGTAACTTTTCAGGGCAGCGTCGCCGCTTCCGCCTTCCAGCATCGCCCCTCCTGGATGAAGTCTTTGAACGAAAGACGACGAGCGTCATGCCCGGAGACGGTGCACAACAACGCGAAGCCGTGGATGAACACGGTGGCCGTGGCGCGGAAGCGCACCAGGAAGAAGGTGAAAATTTTGTCATTCTAAATTTATTATATTTTTCGGGAATTTTGAATTAACATCCATATAATTCCTGTAGGCCTTCTACATGCTGACCCTAAACCTCATCTTCTGGACCCCATACTGTCTCCTGGGCATCATCACCGCCATCACCGTCTTCGAGCAGTACCACCATTTCCAATTTGTCTGTGCCCTCATCGTTTTTAATGCCATTACAAATATTATTTTGTAAAGTACTTCCTGTTTTTCTGTATATTTACTACCGTACTCAATCCAAGCATTTCTAATTCCCCCATACATTTCCAAATATACCAAAAACAACTTTCCGTCTTTCCCTCAGTTTAATTTTTATTTTTATGTTTCATTTTGTGATATTTATTTCTGTCTGGGCTAGAAAATCTGGATTTCCTATTTTCCGTTACTTTCCTATCTACAAATCAAGATCTCCCTTTAACATTGTCGGGTGCAAACAAATCGTGTAGTCTGTAGCGAAAATGATATGCTGATGATTGTGTGAAAATTATTGATGAAAAAATTTACCAACTGTGCTGTAAATAAATGATTTTGCTTCATTACATCTATTGAAATCCGAGAAAATGTGCAATTAGAAAAGTCAATATTGTGCTTCGGGTCGTTTTTCAAGCCATTTCTTCAACTCCGGAATAGCACGAACTTTCTCGAAATGAGCAAGGATCTGGAAAAACCGAAATTTGTGGGCTTAGGAAGTTTTTGGGCATGCTAAGGCTTGTATAACTGGCATACCCCGGGATAATCGTCCACGTACTCCGGCCGGCAATTCCGGAAAGTCTCGACGTGGTAGATGAGAAAAAGATCGGCCCAAGAGACCTTGTTTCCCACCTGAAAATAGCAAAATTTTTCTTAATTTCCTAAAGGACCGTTGCTAGCTTGCCGTAGCTTTAAAATTCCGAAATAATCTTTGCTAGGTTGCCATCTCGGGAATTACCTGAAATATGCCTCAAATAAGCTTCAAAAACGTTAGTACCAGCGTACTCCGGTTCTCCATTCAAAAAATCGCTAATGGTCTGGGATACCCTGCTTTTCTCTACCCTAGCTTCCTGGAGTGACAATCTAGCAAAGACCATTTGAAGATTCTGATCATAAATAACCTACCAAAAATCCCGAGCCGTTCTCCATCAGCTGCTTGACGGCGATTGGAAAAAATCGCTCACGAGCAGGAATCACTTGAGTTTGATACGCAGCCTCGGCATCCCCAGGCGTATATCCGACTTTGAAGTGAAAGTAATCAAGCACTTCATTCATATAGTCGCTGATTTGATCGCCCCACGCATCGACTTGGGCTTGTTCCCAGAGGGTCTCACCAGCGAAACCTGAAATAACGCGCGTACCGGGACTGGTTACGTAGAAATATTCACTCAGCTATCGTTCCTTTGGTTCTGTTTTAATAATTTGCCATAGTAGTATTCAATCGCCTTTAACTCACCAAATTGATGCGCCAAATAACGAGCGATAGCCTTCGATTGAGCTAGTTGTTTCCCATCAACTTCCAAGACGGGCATTTGCCCAAACGGGGTACCTAACAATATCAAAAATAGATGAAAACTATACTTCGCCGCCCACCCGGGGTGGGTCCCCCCTGGGGGGGACGGAGGGGGGACTGGGAGGGGGGACAGAGGGGGGATCCCACAGGGGGGGACCCCCACCCCCAGGGTAGGCATCTATAAAAGTCCCCCTGAGACTTTTTGAACTTAAATTTTGTTCACCATTTTAGAACTAACTTTAATTTGACAATGGTTCACGTGGAAAAACCATTAACAATTTTGAAAATGTTTTAGTGGATTCTCATCGAAAATCCACGATTTTGATCGATCCAATAACAGATATTTTGGACTTTTCATAACGCAAAATTGCAATATTTATATTTATGAATTGTCGAAAACAGATGAGAAACACTTCATCTACCTATAGAAAAATTAGATCCTTAGTAAAAAAGATTGTTTATAGTGGCCGGTGGGGGGGGGGGGGGGGGGGGGGAGGGGTAGGGGGAAGAATCCCCCTGGGGGATCCCCTCTGTCCCCCTCCCAGTCCCCCTCCGTCCCCCAGGGGGGACCCACGGGAGCTGGGTGTGACACCGCGCCAGCTGCAGGATTTCTATTGCGCGCCCCAGTGACCGTATCCCCCACCCAGCTGCCCCAGGGCCCTCTCGCCTTTTCGATCAACTTTTCGCCACGTAACCAAAAGGAAAGAATTTAGAAGTAAGAAAGAATGCAACAAAGTGAAAAGTTAATAGTTTTTATTAAAATAAGAAAGTCATACACTAACTAAGACGTAGAACAGCAGCTAAAGTTATAATGCTTTTATAATTAGACATTATAATGCTGATCAAGCAGACACTTCTTTGTATTTTATTCTAGCAAGCAATCGTCCCAACGTTAGATAATCACCCAGTATTTTCAACTTGGCAAGCTAGAACCATTTTTCCGTTTCCCAAGCACTTTAAGTCTAAGCTGTGCCCCTACTTTCCAAAGCGTTATTCATGATCTTCTTCCAGACACCGTTATGAAATCACCGATAGGAAGAACTAGTGTCTATCGGCACGTTGCAGCGATAGCAAATTATAACCATCGCCGTGCGAATGTTGTGATCGTCTTCTTTTTGGAAGCTTCAGGTCGTCGTCATCCCGGAAGGCATACCGGAGAGATTTGGTGCTTTCCACCTGCTACATGAGCCGAAGAGAACCGTATCCGAATTCGCAGTGACGGCTGGAGCGTTTAAAGTTAAAAGTTATAAGTGAAGCGGCCCATGCGCAACATTTGCCAAAATTCCGATGTCTAGACGAAGGCTTTTGATCACGACAAGAAGCGTAGATCGAACCTATCCTGGAGCGAGGCTGATCTTTAGTATAAGCTTAACTTATGTTTAGCGCCTACATTATGGTTTAGCTACTGCCTTAAAACGTTTCGAGCCGTTGCGTAAGTCTGGCGCAAACCTAGGACCCATAATCAAAGCTTTCCCCCAAACTTCTATATATCCGAGACACCTCAACATATATTACACACCTGTTATATTATATAATGCATGCATATATTGCTCAATGCGTGAAAAGGTAAAAGAATCTACAACAAAAAGACCGTTACTAGAGATTTGTCTGTCAGAAATGAAGTCATCCATCCAACGAACCTCATGAATAAAAGCCTAGGGCGGCACCCTGGCATTATTTCCTACAAAAAGCATTTTTTGGTAAAAACTATTAACTTTTCACTTTGTTGCATTCTTTCTTACTTCTACATTCTTTCCTTTTGGTTACGTGGCGAAAAGTTGATCGAAAAGGCGAGAGGGCCCTGGGGCAGCTGGGTGGGGGATACGGTCACTGGGGCGCGCAATAGAAATCCTGCAGCTGGCGCGGTGTCACACCCAGCTCCCGTCGCACCCACCCCGGGTGGGCGGCGAAGTATAACTGAGCTTTTTGAACTTTCATTGAAAACTGAGCTTAATGCTGCTTTTCGAGTCCCATTAAAAACGTACTGTTTTTCAATGCGGCCCATTCCTCTCTTCTCACCCGATGATCCTCAAAATCAACGTTAGCGAGCGCGAAGAGCTGACGGCTTGGCTCTCCTTAGGCCGATATTTTTTTGGATCGTTGGATTTAAGAATTTTTTTCTAGTTTAAACAAAAATTAAAATCAAAATGTAGTGCGAATCCTTGTTCAAAATTGGAAGGATAAACGTAATATTTAACAGAAATACCCAATCCAATAAATGGGCGCACCATACCGAGTCCGTAGAAGGCGTAATAAGTCAGCTTATAGTGGACCATGTTTGAGTTGATCGGCTAAAAGTTCGGAGAGTTTGAAAGGGCAGGCCTGGCGGAGATGTGATCGGGAGAGTGTGAATCAGAGAGAGAAAGAGAGCGTGGGAGAACGAGAGACGCTAAGGGAAGGCGCGTATACCTGGAATAAGATAAGCAGGAAAAGGAGTGATGAGATTATCGGTTCCGGAGAAAAGCAAATGTCAAAAGTGATGTTCCGGTGGTAAAATTGGTTTTTAAATGATCTACTTCGTCTTCTCTAAGCCCTTATAAAGCAACTGTCAAGGCACAAAGGCTAAAAAGACCCCATGCCAACGGTCGAAAGACTACAAATCGCACGGTGTGCGAAACGGGACTAGCGCTTGCCGAGCACAACCACCCCTAATTCTCCAATTAAAAAACCGCCCTGTGTTTGATCACGGCTCAATTTCCGCAAAAAAAAATGTTTAGCGTTTGTGCTGGAAGTTGGAAATTTTCTCATAAGTATTTTTGGCTCGTTATCATGTTTTTTAATTCCGCACTCGATGTATTGCTCATCATTTGTCTTTTTGACATTTGCAAGCCGTTAGATATTAACGAAAGCTTTATTGATTAGCAAGGAATGGCTTGAAAAACGATAAGATTAAAAATTAGAAGGGTGCCGATGGCCGCTGCGAGACCCATTTCTTCAGCTCGGGAATGTCGCGCACCTTCTTCAGGTGGGCGGCAATCTGAAAAATGGAAATATATTCCTCGTTGCAATAGCCAGAAGCATGACCAGCCGAATTGTACTTGCTTACCTCAGGGTACTTGTCGATATAATCAGGCCTGAAACCGAGGAACGTCTCAACATGATAGTTCAAGAACAGGTCAGCCCATGACACTTTGTTTCCAACCTAAAAATTTACTTTATGACGATTCAAAAGCTTTTTGAAGCCAAATTTACACATGTATAAATATAAACAATTAAGGGCTAGCAACTAACACTTAAACCCGTTTAATACTAACCAAGTATCCGCTGCCGGCCTCCTTCAACTGTTTCACAACTAGTGGGAAGAATGTGTCCCTGGCCTTGACGACAACATCGTTAAATTCGGCGTCGGCATCTCCCTCGGCGAATCCTGCCTTGTAGCGGAAGAACGGGTCGACCGAAGTCATGTAGTCGTTGATCTGGTCGGCCCAAGCATCGACTTGGGCTTGTTCCCATTCTCCGTTGCCGGCGAAGCCTGAAAAATGAATTTTCAGCTACATTAGAACGTATGTTACTGCTAATTGATCCCCTTCAAACGCAAAGATACGAGGTCCATGAAAGCGAGAGAGGGGTGAAAGAGAGAGCGAGAGAGAGAGAGAAAGAGAGAGAGAGAGAGAGAGAGAGAGAGAGAGGTAGAAACGTGCGGACGCAATAATGTACACAATAACAATAATGTTAAAATGATGTTTGATCTGAGTCAATTTATTAAATTAAGCAAAGTCAATTTTTTACATTGCAATGCTCATAACACGTTTTAAGTAATAACTCACCAAACTTTCGTCCAAGGTACCGAGCGATGGCCTTGGACTGAGGCAGCTTCTTCCCGTCCACTTCCAGGACGGGCATTTTTCCGAATGGGGTGCCTTAAAAATTGATGATAATTTTTACGTATTTTGTTTTCGGGAAGAATAAAGTTAACGTCTGATCTTCTTACTCTCCTTAAGAGCTGGCCACTCCTCACGCTGTACACGGTGATCCTCGAAGTCGACGCCAGCCAGGGCGAAGATTTGGCGAATGGGTTCGCCTGGAAAATATAGTAAAATCAATTTCTTTTTTTACGATTACAGTTGTTATTTATCTAGGTCCTGCTATGCTTAAAACCATTTTTAATCCCTAAAATTCGTATTTTGTAGAAAACTTACCGAGACCGTTGAAGAAGAAGTAGGTGAGCTTGTAGTGAACCATCTTGGAGGTTACTTGCTTTCTAAAACCACGTATTTTAAGGGTGAACCAACTCCTGAGTTGAACTGACAAGGAGTCGCTTTTAGGTGATATTGGAGTTTCTGAACGAGACCTAGCTCATTCGATAGAGAAAAAAATTCTGAACAAGATGGCGTTTTCAAAAAGTGCTGATCGATTCAAACATTCAAGAAATAAATTAATTTCTATTTTATACGGAACTGTGGGGCTGGGACGCGGATCCCGCCCACCGAACATAGACCCCGTCCACGGGCGCAATCCACATGGCAGCGTGGCCAGGTGGATAGCGAGCCGGTCTCCCAATCTATCGAGGGTCAGGTTCGACCCCCGCCATGCCGATTTTTTGCTTTTTGGCTGAAAATGCGTTTCTTGACGTTTCTTGACGTTTCTTGACTGATCCGCGTTGATTAGAGCAGCCGGGCCATAGAGTTGAATGGCATCCTTTGCTGCCTTCACCACCTTCTCGCAATTTTTTCTGGACCTTTTCTGGACCTTATCCACATGGACTTTCTTGGCGCCGAAGTAGATCCAGATGCCGGGGTCTTTCTTGGGTACCTCCACCTCTTCGTCGTCCTCATAGTCCGGCTCATTGTTGTTGTTTACTTCGCCCTCTGGATGGTCATCTCGAATCATTTGGTCGAAACGAGTCACTTCTAGTTCGCCTTCTTCAGCTTCCTTCAGAATGTGAGCCAAGGCTTCTTCTAGAAGAACTTCATCTGCCGTCAGAGGGCTGTCGCAGGTCCCGAACTTGCGCGCCAAGGCCGCAACGACACACTGTACCCTCACCATCTGAAAAACAACAAAAGATTATATAAAAACACAGTGAATTTAAAAAAACATTGAAAGAAATTGAACCAATAACATGTTGTGTGTATATGCCTCTTCTGTATTTCAGGCATGTGTACAAGGCACACTTCTGAACGGTATTTTCCATTTGGGACCCAGACCTACCTTTCAGCCAAAAAGCAAAAGATCGGCATGGCGGTGGGTCGAACCTGACCCTCGATAGATTGGGAGACCGGCTCGCTATCCACCTGGCCACGCTGCCATGTGGATTGCGCCCGTGGACGGGGTCTATGTTCGGTGGGCGGGATCCGCGTCCCAGCCCCACAGTTCCGTATAAAATAGAAATTAATTTATTTCTTGAATGTTTGAATCGATCAGCACTTTTTGAAAACGCCATCTTGTTCAGAATTTTTTTCTCTATCGAATGAGCTAGGTCTCGTTCAGAAACTCCAATATCACCTAAAAGCGACTCCTTGTGAGAAGTTGAAAAACGGAACAATTAATTCGATGGTTACATTTCAGAAGAACTAAATAAGAAACAAGCACTTGTTTTCTTGGTTCCAACCCAGCAACTTCTCGACCTTTATAGCCCCCATAAGTGGATCGAGGCCGCGCGGGGGGCTACGAATGTTATAAAAAGCACATCGGTGCGAATATAGTCCAGTCGACAGTCGTGTAGTTTGTGCATCATCCTCCGCCCTGCCCGGTATAAGAGGCACAACGATTGGAAACGTGGGGGCTGTTATTTTGAGCCCAATTTTGTGGCGGGAACGAATTGCTCATTGGTCCGGATGATCGAGGAGGATCGTTTCAAATGCAACTTTTGCTCGGAAGATGATGTTATTATCATTTCCAACATTGGCGCTTTTGAAGGGTAGGGTAAGGAACTCGGGAATTACAAGCCGAATTTTTTCCCGAAAATAGAGGAGGTCCGTTTTGGCCAGTTTTCACAATTTTTGAATTTAAATACGATCGGAGCATAGCAAAAGAAATTAATTAGAGGAAACCAGGAAATATATTACGCTCGCAGCTGGAAAATGGCACCGCGGGCCGCCCCTTGATGCCATCCAGCTGCTTGGTGGCACATCTGCTGAGGTCATTGATCATTTTACCTCGAATCGATTGCCTTTCGATTACGGCGAGGTCTCGGCAATTACTTTGCAACCTCGCATTACGAAAATTTATATAAATTTTGCTTGTTTACTGGTTGAATTGTTAAAAAAATAAGCTCAGCCAGCCTTCGGTGGGAGCTTTTTTGAACCAAGTGGCTTCAATTTTTGTCCCTAAAACTCAAAATAGGGTGTGTTTGCCGGTGAAACTATATTAGTGCGTCAAGGCTTTAGGAAATTACTTTGGGAAATTTATTCTACACAGACGACAAAAATTCACAAATCACTTGATCAGAAGTGGTTCTTCGGCCGCTTCTCGATCCACTCCTTCAGCTCGGGGATCTCTCGTACTTTGTTGAGGTGAGCCTCGATCTGGAAAATCGTGTAAACACAATAAATCTTCAATATACCTCCGGGTAATTAGCCAGGTAGTCGGACTTTAGGTTTCGGAAGGTTTCCGCGTGGTAGTTGAGGTAGAGATCTGCCCAGGATACTTTATTTCCTACCTAAAAAGGAACCTTTGATCGTTATTTGGCGTTAGGCGTCGCTTTAAAGCACGGCTCGGGGTCCGCTCAAGACTCTAAAGAAAGCTTACCAAGTATCCAGTCCCATTCTCCTTCAACTGTTTGACGATAAGCGGAAACAGTTTGTCTCTAGCCGGCCCGGCCACCTTCGCAAATTCCGCGTCAGCATCCCCTTGCGTGAATCCGATCTTTTTGAAGAGGAAGGGCCGCACTTCGAACATGAAATCGAGGAGTTGATCGGCCCACGCGTCGACTTGGGCTTGTTCCCATTCGGTTTGGCCGGCGAAACCTAGGAGGGTACTTTAACTATGTACGCCTATTTTCACAACCGAATTGCATGCCGTTAATTGGAACTGGAAGTATCCCAGTTATAACAAGATCGTTAACAACATACCGAATTTTCGGGCCAAGTAGCGGGTGACGGCCCGGGATTGAGGCAGAATTTTCCCGTCGACCTCGAGCACCGGGACTTGGCCGAATGGGCATACTGAAAAGCTCAAATTAACAAGTTTAATTGGGTATATGAATTTGATTAGTGATAAATACGCTAAATCTCGAAATACATTATTAAAAAATTTAAATAAATTTTTTTTAGTGCATTTTATCACTCACTTTTCTTCAGCTCTGGCCAATCGATATCTTTGTGAACGCGGTGGTCTTCGTAGTCGACTTTGGCCATGGCAAAAAGCTGCCGAATTGGCTCACCTTAAAATATTTAGTAAGGGTATATAAACTCGTTAAACGTGCTCATACCTTTAAATTGATATAAGCTACCCCTTAGGTAATTTAAGCTTATTCTAAGTGGTTAATTAAACTATTAGGAAGTATAAAAACTCCTAGTTAGGTCGCATTGGGGGGAATGTAACTCTTAAAAGGTATATAACCTAGGTATTCGATGTATGTATTAAAAACTCTGTACCCCAAGGTAATTAACCTACATTTTAAGCCATACCAAACCCGCTTACCAAGCCCGTTAAACCAAAAATAGTGCAACTTGTAGTGGACCATTATTCGGAGCGAGAAGGTAGAGTTGTGATCTTCCTGAAACCCGGACACCTAGCCCTTATATAGAGCTCCGTTTATAGTCGATCGTGCTCGTGCTCACCGGCACTCCAAAACGCACAACACTACGAGGGATGAACTACCGGTCCGCCCTACAATTTAACATCAACGCCACACCGGACAGGGAAACGGCGCGCGCGCGCGATCTTTGCCTGTAAAAAATACGGCGTGGGAGCGTGGCGTTAGTTTGAAGCCATAAATTGCCTCGAACATATAAAAATAGCTAATTGAGTTCATTGGTTTGATCAATTTTTCAAATGCATTAGCACGGTGTTGATAGCCAAGTATAAAAATTAATTTAGTAGGCGTGTCAGATTAGCTTCCTTTTAATTCATTTTTAACGCCCGTAATTCCTTGAAAATTTTTGAGGTATTGATCTCATTCATGCTTGCCTATTTCGAATTATTAACAAATTTATTACATACTCAAAATCCATATCTTTTTCTAATATTTGTGTTTTGGGCGTTTCTCGATCCATTTCTTCAACGCTGGAATGTCGCGAACTTTCTTCAAATGGGCCAGGATCTAAATTTTAAAAATTAAAATAGCTCTAATTACGTTATTTAATTTAAATAAACTACCTCCGGGTATTTATCAAGGTATCCAGCGTCAAAGTTCATAAAAGTCTCCACATGATTGTTAAGGTATAGATCGGCCCAAGTGACTTTGTTTCCGATCTAAAATATAGACTTTTGACCTGGCATTCCACGTGTAATAAGCTTACCAAGTATCCACTCCCATTCTCCTTCAACTGCTTGACAACAATTGGGAAAAATCGCTCCCTAGCTGGGATCACGACGTTTTTGAATTCAGCTTCCGGATCCCCGGAAGCGAATCCGGTTTTGTAGCGGAAATAAAAGATCGTCTCCATGATGTAGTCGCTGATCTGGTCGCCCCAAGCATCCACTTCCGCTTGTTCCAATTCGGTTTGGCCGGCAAAGCCTGAAAGTAAGGTTTAAAGCGGTTATAGCGCGGCTAGATCGCTTTATTGAACCTCACCGCATTGGGCGCTACCACCGACGACCACAAAACGTAGTACGCGACGCGCACCGGGGCGCCCTGCGCCATGCAACGCCATGCAACGCGACGCAATGCGCTATGCAAGACGACGCAACACAACGCGACGTAACACTCGACGCGACGCAACACGCGACGCCACACCCTAAATGCGACGCAATAGGCTCGATAACGTGGTGCAACACGCTACGCAACGCGAAACAACACGCTACGCAACGCGTCGCAACACGCTAAGCAACGCGAACCAACACGCTACACAACGCGACGCAATACGTTAGACAACGCGACGCAATACGCTAGACAACGCGACGCAATACGCTACGCAACGCGGGGCAACACTCTACGCAACGCGACGCAATACGCTAGACAACGCGGTGCAACACGCTACGCAACGCGACGCAACACGCTACGCCACGCGACGCAATACGCTAGACAACGCGACGCAATACGCTACGCAACGCGGTGCAACACGCTACGCCACGCGACGCAATACGCTAGACAACGCGACGCAATACGCTACGCAACGCGGGGCAACACTCCACGCAATGCGACGCAATACGCTAGACAACGCGGTGCAACACGTTACGCCACGCAACGCAACACGCAAAGCAACACTATGCAATACGTTTGAAAACGCGACGCAACTCGCTACGCCACGCGACGCACCAACAACACGCACCAAGAACATTTGAGATGAAAAACATTAAGTTTGTCTTGTGCGTAGATGCAATGTAGAAAATTACATAGATTAAACCTTTATCAATCCGAATAACCATCCAAAAATTCCGCCAAACCCTCAGAAAGATGGATAGATTCCCTCGTGTGGGCGCGGTCGGCGATTAAAATGCTATCGTATAGAATGCACCCCATTACGCATCCAATATTCACGAACAGCACCTCGCCATCGGGGCGGTCGATGCGGTAAGAGGTGCTTCGAAAACCCTCGGTCTCAGCGTGAAATGCTGGGAATCGGTCAAAGTACGTCGGGTCGTGCGGTTCCTTCTGGAATTCAATACCGCACAGCACTATGGCTTGGATTTGACGTTCGCCGCGTAGCCACTCTTCAATCAGGGTTTGTGCGAAGATTCCATGGTCCGAAAGACCATCCCAGGTCACAGAGAGGTCCATCTTTGGCACCTTAAGATTCAAGTAGTCGGTGAGCGGGGCGCTAAGGCTCGCGTGCTCGAGACAATTCACCGATTCGTTCAACCGCTCGTGAAATTGCTGATCCGGTGGGATGCTGTAGCCGATAGATTTGTGCTGCTTCAAGACGTCGAACACCTCCTCAGGCTCGCAGGAGCCGATGTCCACCTCCCTGGCGCGGACATCGAATCCCCTCGGCAGTGGGTGGCCAAGCGAAATCATCCTTACAGTCGAATTGCTGAAGAGCACCTCCAGGGCGGTCCTGGTTTCGATAATTGGCCGGTAGAGCGGGTGCCCACACAGCATCAGCGGCCTCCCGTTGCTTGTCTGCTGTCGATAGTCCCCAAGGTTCTTGTCGAAAATGAATAGAGACCAATATTTGTTCGGGCAATTCTTGGCCATCTCCATCACGTACTTGTTGGTGGTGCCGGTCTTGAAAAACGGCTTCAGCTCCATGTACCGCATAATTTTGTGTTGGACGTTGAGCGGGAGCGCGCAAAAGTCGAGCGTCATCTGACAATAGGTACTCGTGGGGAGAGAGAGAGAGAGAGAGAGAGAGAGCGTGAGTGTGAGAGAGAGAGTGGGAGAGAGAGAGTGGGAGCAAACGAACGAGAGACGGTGATATAGCTATCGCACGATAGAGAGAGACTCAGAAAGCGCGCGAGAGGCAGGGAGAGTCAGAGAGATAGCGGGAGTCAGAGCGAGATAGAGAGAGACCGGGAGAGAGAGAGAGAGAGAGAGAGAGAGAGAGTTTGAGGAAGATTGAGGGAGATTGAGAAAATCTTGCAAAAATGAAGTGGAGCAGGCCAAAAATAAATGTTGCGAAACAGAAATAATATCAATATTTTAAAATGTTGGTTAGATCCGGACATTGCATGACCTTTGAATCTCCGGCGCCATCTGCTTTCTCTTGCGACATCTGCGCCTAGGGCATTAACCGGGGCCGACCCATTAGCTCATGTAATTGCGACATTTTTGTGTTTGTTAAAATATCCGTTTCACACACATATTACGTTATTTAAATTGCACATCCGCGCTGCCCTTTTACCCACATTTTTACGTATTCTCTTGCTCAAAATTGTCTCGAAAAACCCTACCAAATTTCCGGGCCAGGTATCGGGCGATGGCCTTGGATTGGGGGATGCGCTTGCCCTCTACTTCCAGAATTGGCATCTGGCCAAAAGGCGTGGCTAAAGGTGATGTTTTCCAAAGATTCCATAAATTCCAAAGTCGGCTTACTGGGCTTCACTTTTGGCCAGTCTTCAACTTCTACGCGGTCGTCTTCGAAATCGACATTGGCGAGGGCAAATAGCTGACGACAATTTTCGCCTTCAAAAAGTTAATTTTTTTAAGCTCTTAACTTCTCCTTAAAAAAGTAAAAGGTTTAAAAAAGGCATAAAAAATGGATGTGCTTATAGTAAGTTGGCTCGGCTATAAAGTGATTAAAATTGGGTAAAATTATATCACACTTTCTGTTGGGAAAATCCAATTATTGCTTACTACAGAAGATCTATGCTACCAACTATCATAAATATATGTAAATTCAAATATAATAACAATAAAAACAGATTTTTACTTACCCAATCCATTAAACGCAAAGTAGGTGAGCTTGTAGTGGACCATTTTCAAGGTAAATGCCGTAGAGGGGGGACTTGTTAGTTTTTGACTCTCAGCCAATTTTGCCTATAAGTAGCCGACCTCCTTGGCAAGGTAGCGACGGCCGTCACGGACTACACGCCGTCAAAAGAGTGCGAAAATCACTTTTTCGAGCGCTCCGCAAATTAACGGTTAGCGCACTGGACCGGAGAGAGGCCGAAAAATGCATTTGCTTTGATCATTGGGCAGGGGGAAAGAACTTGGGAAGGCAAACAAGTTCAAGTTTAGTTTATGACGGCCACGCTTACATACTACATGGTGTCCCAAACAAAAAATCAGCCCCCCTCTAGCGGGCCGCAGTCATGTCCGATTGTGACGATTTCGATATCTATCGAAAACTCTCGGAAAGGCGAGAAAAAAAAGCACTTTTCGTTTTTCAATATAGCAAATTTATTTGCTAAATTTAGGACCAAAATCAATGAAAACTGCAGATTTTATGGAAAATCAGCATGTTAATTGCTTGCTAAAGCAAATGGAATGACGCTGATTTTACTCTTTTTTAACAAATCGTTAAATATCGAGCGCGGGCCAAAAATTTGCAAAACGAAAAGCGCGTGTTTTCTCGCCTTTCCGAGAGCCTTCGAATGGTGTAAAAATCAGCCCGATCCCACTTTTCTCCGGACCGCTAGAGGGGGGCCGGTTTTTTTTGGGACACCCTGTACACACGTGTCCAAAACTAGTCAGTTAATACACGGTATCCCAAAAAAAAAACCCTGCGCCCTCGAAATCCTCGTACATAGGGGCGGGTTCAAATTTTTACTAGTGATGGTGGTTTTATACTTTATAGTTAAATGGTTAATAGGATCAAAATACTTTAAAGGCTATGGTTATTTTCAAAACAAAATATTGCAATACGTAAAAGTTATCGCTAAAAACCTTTTTTGGAAAATCTGCTACGCGTTACCGAGCATGCTGTCGCAATTAACGTGCGGATTTTTCGTAAATTACGAAAAAATGGGCCCTTTCAAGTCAATTTCTGATGATTTTGGTGTAAAAAGGGTCTTTTGGAAAATCATAAAAACCATAATAACCATTTAGCTTGTAAGAATCGCTGCTTTCTCAGGTTTACAAGACCATTACGACCCGAAAATGTAAATCAACAACTGCTCACGCAACATAATTCAAAACTTTATTAAATAACGATGAGATCATGGGGTAAATTGATACAATTTGGTTGGCAAAAAAAAATGTACAGAGCAAGCATTCAATAAATCAATCGATTAATTACATGCACTCCCCATCGTTGTCGGGTGCGTACACGTAGTCGCCGTCCTCTTCCTCCGGGAATTTGCGATTTCGGGAGAAGAGGTAGCAGACGAAGATGGCCAGGATGGCGAGGGCCTGAACGTATTACGCAGTGTAATCTTTTACATTGAAAAATACCTGTAAGCTGGCGCTCGAAAGATGGAAGGAGACGCGCAGTCCTTCATTATCGTAGAGGACGCAATTTCCGCCATCTAAAAATTATAAAATTTGTTGTATCATCTTGATATAAATAGATTATCATATTTTATTAAAAGAATATGGTTTATCTTTAATATCTAAACTTAAAAACCGTCATTGGTGTATTAAAGGCTAGGCAAAGGAACTACCAGAGGTTTTAACCCAAAATTCCCGCATTTGACTGATTTTCGAAGGTTTTTGGGCCACTACCCTTAGAAATCTCTTCTTTATTAATACCGTAAGGTATCTAAAACCTTTGACTCACCATCATGACATCTGCTATGCCACAATATGCAAGCCCTATCCACCACCCAGCCCAAGAAAATCGGGGCCGGGATGAAGCCGAGAAGGTTGGTGAAAAATGAAGCAAATGAGAGCGCTATCACTTTTTGATCATCGTAAACCGATCTAAAAATACATATTAGAATTAATCTTTTTTAAACTGCCTTAAAACGATCATCATCGTCACCATGAAGAAGAGATTTCCAGCGAACAACCCGATGAACATGATTACCATATACCTGAAAATAGTAAAATTCGAGTTTCAATAAAAATACCATTAGTAAAGTTTTATATATTTAGTGCAAAAATAAGCGTCGAATTAGTTAATTTACCTACCACACAAAATCATTGCATTCAGGGTGAGCGATTCCGCTTTCGACTGGCCGATTGTCGAGACATTGGCAGTTTGTCCACTTAAATTGGCAAAGTAGGCTTTTTTAGCTTTTAATAAAATTTTACAAGCTACCATATAGTGATGCGCAAGCCCAAATATCTGGCTTTATTTTGCTTTAAGCCCCTTTAACCTACCCGATTCTCATAAGGGCTGTAGCTGGTGCACCCTGCATGGCAAGGCGAGTAGAAATTTTCGCCATCAAAGTTGACCGGGTCGAAGTGCATTACGGATGCGCAGGCACACTCCACGGAACACGGCTTGGTGTAGACGTCAAAGAATGGGATCAGGCTGCTCGAGCTGAAGATGTCAGGATTTTGGGTATTTTCTAGCATTTTCGGAACTCGTGCGAAAGGACCGACAAATTGGTAAAAAGGCAAAATTTCCATTTTGCCTAAAAATCGTAGAAATTCAAAGTAGCCGACGTTCTCTAGAAAAACTTTGAGAACGTTTTCTCATTATTTTGACCAAGTGTTAAGCTAACTATGGTTTTTCTGACTTTCTAAAGAATTATAACTGCCAACCCAAAAAAACAGGTTTGGCAGCGAAAGGCTAGCAGAGCACTATTTTCAAATTGACTGGCTCGGAAAGACAACAAGCTGATTTTTTGATACTCAAACCTCCGGGAGGCTAACTAGCAGAGATTCTTTAACCCACCGCCTTGATTCCTCATAATGGAGACCGCTGATTTGCGCTTGTTTACATCCCACGAAAGTTCCCGCGACATAGGAGAATAGAATAAAAAACTAAAACGATAAAACCATTGAAAAACAGTATACCTACCCACGAAGCCATCAGCAATACCAGACCCTTTCTCGGGCTAATGTCATATCTGGTCAGCAACCAGCCACCAACGGCTGTCGAAACAGCAATCGAACCAACAGAGATGATGCCTGAGAATTGCGATTTTTTTTTCCTGCGTAATCCATAAAGCCTACCAGCATAAAAATCGGCAGCGCTGGCCGATTTCCCGTACTGGGTTTCGATGTATTTGGGGAGGAAGGTGGTGTAGCCGGCGATGAGATAGGAACCGAACGTCCATCCAAATACTATCGACACGAATACAGGATTTCGGCAGAGGTCGATGATGACGAGGATGAATTCTGAAAGACGTTTTCGAGCCTTATTTCTTGTTCTCTCTTCTCTCTCTCTCTCCGTCTGTCCAACTCTCGCTCTCTCCCTCTCTCGCTCCTCCCCCTCCCACCCTCACTCTCACTCTCACACACTCTCTCGCCCTCTCGCTATCGCTCTATCACTCTAACCCTCTCTCGCTCGCTCTCTATCTCTCTCGCGCTTTCCTACCTTTCGTTGAAAACACAAATTTCTGATATCCACTCATCTTTGGCTCATCACTACAATGCGAAGGCGCCAGGTGAGGGTGATGAAGTGGTTGCCTCATTTCGATTCCCTTAATTTTGTTTTTCCTAGCTTTCATTCATTTGGATACCTTTTCATCTTCCGTAGCTGTATATGACTTTGGGAAGAAGAAAAATGGAATTGAGGTGGCAATGTAGAAAAGGGCGCAGAGGACGAAGCCCACCCACCAAGCCCCGATCCAGTCCATGGAATATTTGGAGATGTGGTGAGGAGCTGAAAAAATATATAAATTTTATACAGAATTAAAGTATGGTTCAGGTCTGCGTTTTTATAAACTTCGATCCAAGCTTACCTTCCTCTAAAGTCGTATACACCCTGGTCGTCAAAGCCGATAACCCAAATCCAAGTGCCGGTCCGAAGGCGTACATGCTTGTAAGCAATCCTAGAATTTTTTGGATTTAAGGGTTCATCTAATGATGTTTTTAAAGATGACATACCTAGCAAAAATGGGGACTGCCTGCGGTCGAGTACATTATTGTCAATGTATACGTAAGCCAAGGTATTGAAAGGGGCAGCAAAAACTCCGGCCAAGAACTGTCCGATCAGCAGAATGACAAAGGCCCAGAAGTGCTCGGTGTGCTCACTTTTGCAGTTTTCAGCTGAAAAAAAAACAGGATTTTAAACTTTAAGCCAACTTGGAAGGGTATATAACGTGTACATTTTATGCAAAAGTAAAAAATCGTACCGTCAGGAAAACTTAGTGCAAAAACTTCATAGCTCTATTGAATTTAAGGACCTAAAGTAAGCTGAAAACGAACAAAAAAACGGTTCCAAGTAGAAATATAAACAGTTCTTGAAAATAGCGCAATGTATCCAGAAAGACACTATGAAGTTAGAGTTAATCAAACTTACCCGAGGGATCATAATAACGCCCGGAATCGCAACGATAATCCCGTACGTAGGCTTCCTAAAAACGTGCGTAGTTTTCCTGGATGTTCGCATCTGCCTATTTTTTTGCAAATTACTTACCAATTTCAACGCTTTCTGCTCCTCCGACTCGCTGAATTGAAAAATTACGGCCGGAAAGATGAGGACCAGCATGCTGAGACCGCTGAGCAAAACGCCTAAAAGTCTCAATTAAATTAAATACCTTGAATTTCCTACCGGCTCCTGTTATCCTGGGCAAATGGCCTTTTGTTCCAAAGTATCCGGCTAGCAGGATCGCTATCGTGTGGCCGAGATCGTACGACGACAGTAGGAGTCCCGTCTTTTCACTGGTGAAACCGAATCTTCGCTCCAGGGTTGTTAGAATTCCGACGACATAGCCGAGGTAAGTGCCCTGGAATTTGTAGTTCATGGTTTTCAGTTCCGCATTGTAGTTTATATTTTAAAGCGGCTCTGGCAGCACACCGATTACGGCAGTTCGGGGCCGGGCAGAGACGCAGAGCTCTGTCTGCGTCTCTCCTCCGGGCGCGCTCTTTCTCTCCCTGCCGCGACGCACCCGACCGCGACGCTTGGACGAATGATGGAAAGCGAGCCTGCTGCCAGAGCCCCTTTAAGGGGGGTTATACCTTTATGCCCTTTATATCATAGTTCGTAGCTGCAATTACGACCCTGATCGTGAATTCAACTTATAGTTTTTTTTGCTAATAAAAATTAATGGCTTTTGGAACATTTTAGTTATCTCAATTTTGTAGTTTATAGCCCAAAGGGCTGAATCAGTGTTATAGTTTCTGATCAACACAAATTTTCCGAATTTTTGGGTCGTTACGCAGTAGCCGCTTTTTCGAAAAATTTATTATTTTCTACTTTTATAGTTTTTATTATCTCTTTTTTTATGGTTTGTATCCTATTCTTTATAACCTTACCTGCACAGCAATCACCACTATCATTAACGCGACGAAGAAATGGATCCCGGTACTCGACCGAGGCTGCCGCGGCCCGGGCTGCCGTATCATTTCGAAAAAAATTATTTCGAATTTGCTTAAAAAAGCAACAGACAAAAAACCACAAAAACTACAAAATGTATATCTTTTTACAAAAAAAATTACATCAACAAAAATCGGTCCCAAAAATCCAGAGCACTTGCATTTTATTGCCTCAAATTTTGGGGGGCGCGCGTAAAAAATATTTGTGGATGGCGGGTTTTGCATGATTTTTTCGGGGGTTATAAGAGCAACATCAAAATAAGAATATACAAAAATCAGGTGATACTCTGCCGTCCAAAAAAAAGTTATCGGGTTTATTACGTCGGGTTTTTACCAACCTTCCGGGTCCGAAACCAAATTTGGTAGCGCTTCAACGGCCAGTTCAGGTTCGGGTTCCATTTTAACTTGCTAATTTAGGTATGATGCTTATTAGAATTCAGGTAGCCTAGTAGAATAGGCACGCCCACGAGAAGGTGGTCAAAATCTTACGAAACCCCTGGGTGCATCGCGTGCCCACAAGAATTCACATAAATCCAATCTACACCCGCCAATTAGCACGGGGGAATCACAAATTTTTGAGGAGCAGTGAGAACGGCATGGGAATGGAACGGAATTTGGGTGGTTGTGAAATTATTGTCGGGACGTTTAAAGCTAAAAAAAATAGAAAAATTCGTGGAACTTTCAAAAAACACCGGTGTTCTGCAAATTTCCATTTTTATCGGGGCAAAAAGGTCGCGAGAGAGAGAGAGAGAGAGAGAGAGAGAGAGAGAGAGAGAAAGAGAGAGAGTTAGGGAAAAGAAACATTGTGCCGTTTTCTGCAATTTTCAGAAAAATACGGAACATCGGAAACTTTGCATATGCGGGCCGGCGAAAAATTGTGAGTCACCCCCGGGCCCGGGAATGCCATCCCCTGGAAATCGATCTAAGGGATCCCTCTCACTCTCAAACAGTCTGAATAAAATGGCTGGGGGAAAAGAGGCGGCCGGGATAGCCGATAAGGTCTGTAAATAGGCTAAAAAAGGGCCGAAATGGCATGGTGGGGATGAGTCAGGGAGGGGGGTATTTGGGACTTTGCGTTTTCGAGGCTGTGAGAGAGAAAGAGAGAGAAAGAGAGAGAGAGAGAGAGAGAGTGAACGGGAGAGAGAGAGATAGTGAGTGCTAGAGAGCGAGTGAAAGTGAGACCAAGAACAGCCAACCATTTTCAGAACGCAAAAGCCACAACCCTCTGAGCAAATATTGTCACTCCATCGTGTCAGTTGCTCTTGCTCCTCCTTTCAGACCCAAATGTTTGCCGCCCTTTTGGCTTGATGTTGGTGTTTTGCAGGTTTTTTTGGGGGGCTTTGGGTCTGTTTTGGACGAAGGGGCGGCCAGAGGTTTCCTGTAACGCCGATTTTCAGCTGGTTTGGCATTTACAACATTTTTTAAAATGCTTATTACATTTTGGTTTCTTGCAGCGTATCGGGGAAAAATTTTCTATTAAGTATTTTTCTAATATTGAGCACGAGATGGCTAAATAGCCACCAGGAAAGAGAATGAGTCAGAGATATGGTGAGAGCCAGAGAGGGAGAGAGAGTGAGAAAGAGAGAAGGAAAAAGAGCGAGACAAAGAGAGCGAGAGATCTGAAAGACGAAAAAAAGTCCATTTTCTGACCTCTAAAGGAAAAACCCATACAATTTGTATAAAACGGTAAAATCCCAGGGCCCAAGAAAGTAATAAAAAGTATAGTTACCAGCTGGGTGCCACTAGCAGTTTTCGTAGTATGGGGCACAGGATCGATCTGTATCCGAGTTGGGGGAGGTTGACTCGAGGGTGTGGAGGACAAGGCTGGGGCCTCCCGCTGAATCACCCATTATCCCCCCTCCCCAAGGCCATTTGCATGCTGCCAGATCTGATGGTACTTTAGGCCATGTTTGCACCTGTGTCCGTGTACGCATGAAAACAACAGATTGCAAAAAATCTGCTCCACGATTCCTGGGTTGTTCAAAAACAGAGATACGATCAGGGCGCTCCGATTGTAGTAGAGATTTTTGTAAAGCGCGTATCGTTGCGGAATTCGTGGAAGGTGGAAACTTGGGACTTTCATAAATTAGATTGGGGGTAACGAGGTAAGAGAAAGCGAGAGAGAGAGAGAGAGAGAGAGAGAGAGAGAGAGCGAGCGAGAGAGAGAGGGGAATTATTATGAATAGTACAGGAAAAATCAGAAAACGGATCAATTTTTTGAAAGGACTTTTTCCTGATGATTTTTGAAATATTTATTATGCCGAAAAATGCAAATTATAATGATACAAAAACCATACAGCAAAATGATCACGTGAAGCTGAAGATTTCCCGGGCAAAAGCTTAGAGGGTTTTTTCGAGATAAATGCCTCTTATCCGCCTCCACCACCTCCGTTCTGCTCGTTGTTCTCGAAGGCCAAGAAGTCCTGAAATTCACGTTCCCGTTAACCGCATGAAAACGATTCCCACCACAAGGAACGTAGCTGCCAGCAGCGTGGCCTTGACCTTCACCTCCAGATCCAGCGGAACTAAATTACGAGGTGCTTTTTATCAAGCCGAAACTCGCGGGTCGCGAGGGTTTTATTGCTTACATTCGGCCACAAAATTGTCGGCGTCTGTGAAAATCTCCTTGACGGCGCCGGTCCACTTCTTACGGATCGTGCCGATTGGTTGGTTGGTGGCCGGGGCCAGGATCTGGATTAGGGCTTGGTAAATTGAATTTTTAAATGGGGCTAGCGCTCTGCTGAAAATTTTGAGTCGCCGCGATACGCGGCGCGGCAGGCGGCGTGGCGAGCAACGCGATGCGCAACACGACACTCGACGCAACGCTGCGCAAAACGTAGAGAAAACATAGCGCGATACGCAGCGCAACCGGCAGCGCAATGTGCAACGCGGTACGCAGAGCTACGCGCAACGCAATACGGAACACGACACACAGACCCTTTAAATGATTTACTTGCCAATTTCATGGCCGAGATATCAACTTTGGTATATATAATCATTAATTCTAAAAAAATAAGGCGAATTTGCAGGCGATTGTTACTGTAAAAACTATACAAAGTGGCTTTGCCGACAAGAAAACGAAATTTCAACCGCAGATCTTGTCGGCACAGAAACTAAAATCGATAAAATTACCTCGAACACCTTGTCGGAACAGCAATTGCAGCACCAGTTAAAGGAGCACATATTTGGGCCGGATATCCTAGATTTATCGATTTAATCGACAAATATTATGACAATTACTTTAAATCCTCGTGCGACTCGTCGGCGTTGAGGACTGAAAGTTGGAAAGAGCAGCAGCCGAACTGCTCCCGGACGATGCCGATCTAAAAAGAAATTTTGAAAAATTGTTCTTCAAATTCTTTTCCGCATTTCCCTTGCCTTGATTTAATGCGAAATCACCTACCACATTCCCGGGTGGCGATTCTACCGTAATCTCGCTCTGGCATGGCAAACAGCAAGCGCAGCAATTTCCGCAGGCACAACATTTGAATGGGCGACGGATGGTCAGTACTTCCTAAAACGCGAACGTTGCTCGCTCTCGGTCTCTCTCGTTCTCGCTCGCTCTCTCTCGCTCGCTTTCTCTCTTTCTCTCTTGCTCTCTCTCGCTCTCTCTCTCTCTCTCGCTCTCTCTCTCTCTCTCTCTCTCTCTCTCTCGCTCTCCCCCACCTTCTGATAGTTATCCACGATATGCAGCGTAAATCCTCTCGCATTAGCGCAACATTGCCGCATACAACACCCCGACTCTTCGTAGGCCCAGTACACCTAAAAAATTGAACCTCTACCGTACTCTCCCGATCTCTGACCTGCTGAGCGGCAGCGTTGTAAATGGCGTATTTGTTCGTCACCTCCCAGCTTGTGACGGCCTCCAGGAGGCTCTTTTTCTGGAAGGAAACTAAAATTTCACTTTTCTATCGTAGTCCCAGACCTGCTGGATGACGAGTTTGTCGATGAGGGTCAGGTATTCGAGGCCGGGTGGTACGCCAGCGATGGTCTGCATGGCCGGCATGAATTCAACGGCTGAAAAAAGTGGGCCATTTAAAGGTACACTAAAATCTCGTGCAAAAATTAGGTTCGTGGTCGGGAATTCGGGCTCTTGGCCGCAGGACGCCCGGACCCTTCTTATACCCCTGCCTCTCCCCTCTCCCGTCTGTCCCATGGCCTAGTGGTCTAAAGCGCTTGCCCCAGGCGAGTGGTCCGGGTTCGGTTTTGCTCCGCGGCGAGCCCCTACCGTAACCCTGTTTGCTATCCCGCGGACGGTTACCGTCCGGTAACCAAACCAACGAGACGTTAGTGTACCTTTAGGGACTGGTAAGGCACGTCAATGGACTCCTCGAATAATTTTCCGCGCTCGTATTTTTTTAGGAATTCTATATGTAAAATCTTCAATTGCGGCTTTTCCGTACCTTTAGGACATGCGGAAGTTAAGGTAAAAGGTTTTAGACGGGTAAAACTGTCTAAAACCGAATAAATTCAGGGCTAAGTCAGGGGGGGTTTTCATGGATTCCTAAGTTGAAAATACGTCGAAGCCGCGCATGAATATTAGGAGACTTTTTACTTTTTTTCTAGAAAAGAGGAACCGTTTAAAAGTACGTTTAATAGTTTAAATTTTCAAAATTTAAAAACAACTTACGAGCTCCAGGAGGTAGCGGAGCCCCCGGCTGCTGCATTATCACATTTTTACTCATTTTTCTGAAATTACCATATACTTTTTATGCCTCGGTATATTTTTAAAGTAGGAAATCCAACAAAAAACGTTTACAAATTTGAAAAAGTGAAGAAAATGAAGTCCACCACATTTCAAAAGCCCTACAACGTATGCAAATAAACAAGGTGTGGGGCCTCTATTTTTCGCGCTGGGCCCAACAACAAAAAGTACAGGGCAATTCGCGAGTTTGCGTGTTTTAGGCAAAGAAATGGAAATTTGGGTGGTCTCCGATGCCTAGCCAAGCAAATTGGATTCTTAATGAGCAGCGGGTACGAAAATTGTGTCTTTACGTCGCGCAAAAAGTGACTGGGTGAGAATCAGAACCCAGGGTAGAAAGTCAGAGATTTTGTGACCGGATTTGGGGCTTCGGTATCGGACTGAATTTTGTAGATTTTGCGAAAAAACAGACTGCAATGGCTTCAAAAACATGCTGGTTTAGTTCGTTATGTCTTAAAAAATAAAATGAAACGAGTTTTTAGAAGCAATTCGGGAGGAAGCTCCGATAAAATAATTCAAAAGATTTGGCTATTACAGGCAAGCTAAATTTGGGTAAAATCACCGTTTTAGATGGTTTTGTGTTTTCGGGTAGATTTAGGCTTAGGGTTAGGCGTAAATCAGGCTTGGACATAGGTCTGAGCTTAAGTTAACGTTAGTTTCAGGTTTTTTTAGTTTTTAGTGCTTCGTTTTCGAAGCTACCAACGATTTTTTTGACCGCGAAACAATCTTCTGCGCATTAATGTCAAGGAAAATCGCTCAGAACGCTCGTTTTCGAGCTTGGAAAATGGCCAAAAATGAAAAACCTGCTTTTCCAGTGCTTATTTTAAGCCTCCGCCTAATTCACTAATAGCAACCAAAAACCGCTGCCGTTCACCCGGTCACCATCGCGATGCACATGGCGAAATGGGCAACGCGCGCGGCGATAGAACAGCAAAAAAGTGGAGAGCTCAAGAGGCAGAAAAAATGTGAGTAAACAGAAAGCGCAGTACACAATTCGGTGTTGGCGCTGGGAACGATGTAAGGGGAGCGCTTGGCCGGAGATCGCCCGCCGGAATAAAAAGTTATATCGCAAGGTGAATCACCGGTATTTGGGAACAGCTTTATGAGCCGCTGTAAAAAATGAAATGAGCGTAGGGATCATTTTTAAGAGTCGCTAAATTTAAACTATAACTGCAGGGGATCCTCTGCCATTTAGGGGATTCTTAGTTGTCCTAATTCACATATTTCAGACTTGAAAAACCGACTATAAAACTTCGAAATTGTCGTTCTAGTAGCCTTCAAAACGGTACAACAAAAAATATTTAACTCATCCCCTACTTTCCTCTATATAAATCGATGGTCTTTTCTAGTTCTAGTGATATCAAACGTCACCAGACATTTGAATGGACGTAAATTATCCAAATAAACCCTGAAATACCACTTTACAAGTGTCATGTGCCTGATGGACAATGCAAAGCTTTCTAGTAGGTGTCGATACCTTGGCAAAAGTATAGTTTATGTGTATTAAAACTATTTTTTTTCTTAATATGCTAAAAATCTTGGCATGGTGCAAAAATGAGAAGCCAAAGACCCCCGGGGAAAACCGATATCTGTTGGGGGCCCAAAAAAGGCCCGGCCCACGTGAGGGGGAAACGACTAGAAAATGGATAGTTGGGGGCCCTAACTGCACCCTGTGAATAGAGTTGGGTTGGGCCCAAACTAGGGCCCTTATTGTTGGCCGGGAAAGAACTAGCATAATTCTCCCGTAGCTCCTCGCCTGAAATACCAGCGCGTGGCTTTTATTGGCCCAAAAACCAGCTGTCGGTCACAAAATCTCTGACTCTAGAAATTGGAGCACCTGCGCATGGTGATGCATCAATTTTTTTTTGTAAGTCGTCATAAGGAATCGCGTGGTCAATTGTAGAGTACCGTAGGAAAAGAAACCCGTTTTATTAAAATAAAATTCTTTTTCGGAATTAAATATAAGTTCACTAGCCCGCCGGCCATCGAATGTTTGTCATAGAATTTCTAGATGGCTTCCGCTCCTCATATTAACCACAGAAAACGATATTTTACTCTAAGATCCTGATTCAACCCCGAGCTGAGAAATATGATGAGAGCCAGCTGCCAAAATCGATCTATCGAACCGTAAAGTGTCTGTGGAGCATGCGCCACATGTTTTCTTGATAGCCGCTGAATCAGCGTCAATACATCCAGCGCTATATTTTGTTTATGACGTCATATAATGTTCAACATTTAAGCGGAATTCACTAATGAAATCGAGAAAAAATGTGATCAAACATTTACAGTCTGGAAAACGTGGTGAAGCTTGGGTTTTGTGGGGTCAGATGGAATTCGGGATGGCAAAAGTGGCGGCAGATGAACAAATACAAATACATTTTTAGGGAGGATCGGAGGCGAGAGTCGGGTTGGGAGTGAGAGAGCGAGGGAGAGGGAGAGAGAGAGAGAGAGAGAGAAATGGGGGTTCAGGACTCTAGTAAAGCTAGGGATTAACTTCCGCAAAAGACAGCATCTAGTTTTGGAAGAAAATACAGTGGCATAATGAGAGAGCGAGAGAGAGCGAGAGAGAGAGAAGCGAGAGAGAGCGAGCGAGCGTGAGAGAGTGAGAGTAAGAAGCACATCCATACCAAAATTTAGCCAAAAATTCAAAACATTTCAACAAATCGAGCACGCAATGCTATCCTTCAGATTGCGCTTCTTCTTCTGGACGACAGCGTTGGTAAACAGAAGCGCGCGCAGCTCCTGGTAACCGTCGATAGAGTTGATGTTTTCGTCTAAACGCCAAAATATCTCGGTTGCCAGGGCCCGGGTCTCTACGATAAAGCCATAGGACAGTTGCGCTTTGGTCGCTTATTTTTGGGATTGCCATCTCGGTGGTTTTCGTAAATCAGGCAATATAAAAACTGCGACAGCTGATTTTAATAGTAATCTACGGTCGCTCACCTCGCTGAGACCCGATAATCTCCCACATTGATTTTTTGAAGCTGCGGCTGAGATAGTAGGTGTTCATCTCGCCCTTGCCCTTGATCTGGGTCTTGCCACGGCCCTCGAATTCGAAGCGACCGGTGCGCTGGGCACAGCTGAAAGTGATGCGGTAGGAGGGTATCGGACCAGTTCGCCGAAAACCATTTCGCCGAAAACCATCTCGCCGAAAACCACTTCGCCGAAAACCATTTCGCCAAAAACCATCTCGCCGAAAACCATCTCGCCGAAAACCATTTCGCCGAAGACCATCTGGCCGAAAGCCATCTCGCCAAAAACCAACTCGCCGAAAATCTAATTTTGTATGTAAATTTTTTTTCAGGCTGGTTCCATTTTGGTCTAATACTGGAAAAAACACTGATCATGACTGAGCCAATCGGTTTTCGGCCTCAAATCATAGGGGAAGTGTCCGGGCACAGAGACCCTGAAAAAAGCAACTTTCTTTACTTTCTTGTGACCTGGGGGATGACCGCAACTACGCGAAAAATTTGCATGCAAAATTAGATTTTCGGCCAGTTGGTTTTCGGCAAGATGGTTTTCGGCAAGATGGTTTTCGGCAAGATGGTTTTCGGCAAGATGGTTTTCGGCAAGATGGTTTTCGGCGAAATGGTTTTCGGCAAGATGGTTTTCGGCAAGATGGTTTTCGGCAAGATGGTCGGAATTCGCGGTAGGAGGGGAATGTCAGTTAGGAAGTGATTTTCGAAGTTTTTATAACTTACGTGACGGCATGTTCGCTGCAATGGATGCGTCCCTCCGGGCTGTGGGATTCCATTCGGGACGCGGTATTTACCGTGTCACCAAAGAGACAGTATCTGAAATATTGGATTTTTGTACCCGGAAAAAATTCATAATATCTATGAATCATAACGCCGTAATTTTCGATAAATAAATTGGTGAGACAACTCTTAAATAGCCTACCAAAGTGACAAAATTTCGGCATTGTCTCTTTCGATAACATGAATTGCGGCATTTTTTGATACTACGATGCGCCGTTCTCAAAATATTTATAGTTTTATTGTACCTAGGCATCTTTGCTCCTACGACGCCAGCAACGACGGGCCCCGAGTGGATTCCGGCCCGGATTTGGAGCGGACGACCTGGAATGGAATTTTGGAGCCTTTCAGCTTCACCGGCCTTTGTCAAAGAACCTTGACAGCGGTTTCTTAGGCTACGGTAGCGTACAAACAAAAACAAATCACAAACCACTGATTGGATCGGTCGCATTTCTGGCTTCATACACCATTCCCAGCGCTAGATGGCAAATGATCTCGCAGTGGTCCTCAGTCTGGTCTGGAATCCCACCCACCGACATGTAGCTGTCGCCAACGGTTTCCACTTTGTAGGCCTGCAAAACAAAAAGGTGAGGTTTTCGAATTTTTCACTCCCATGGCGTTTCACTACTTAGAAACTTGTACCTATTTTGCCGATTTTATTTAGTCCTGATGATTTTTATACTATTTTAGTTCTCAGGTTCTAGACATCGAAAGTTTCCACTCGTTGCCACACGAAGGCGCTGTTTTAAGGGAGGGTCAAGGTAGTTTTATGGATTCCGACCAGCCCAGTCAATATTGGCAATTTTGGGCACATGCCTTTCCCGTCCCTTTAAAAGCGCGCAGCAATCTTTCCGACAAGCTTTGCGCTATATCTGAAACTTCGCTGTCTATCCTGGTATCTAGACTATTTTCGAGAATCCAAAATTCTTCTGAAATTCTTTAAAGAACAAGCGCCTCCGAAAGTACTGAAATATTTATTACGGGAATTGCCTCTTCCGCTTTGAGCCGGAAATCCTTCCGTAAACGCCTTTGAAAACTTTTGAAAGAATTAGAAGCAAACCCTTCATAAGTTTTGAACGACATTTCCACATTACGAAATTTTAGGTGATTTTGCTGCAAGCCAAAGATTTTCATGATTGAAATTTATTGTAAAGTTTTTTGTAATGTATGACAAGTGTGCGTCAACAAGTACAGTGATGGAATCATTTATCGGTATCTTCGATACCTATCAATTCGTTTGTGGTGTTTCGTATATACACACAAATCTGGCACTTAGATTCAGTTCTTCTTGGCGTCGTTCGTCAGTCCGGAAGCGGCCGGGGCAGGGGCTTCAGCTCCAGGGGCCGGGGCTCCTCCCTTGTTGGATCCCCAGAGGGCGTAGGCGGGGGCGGCGGCGTAGGCAGCAGGGGCGGCATACGCGGCCGGGGCGTACGCGGCGTACGGCGAGGCGTACACGGCCGGAGAGGCAGCGTAGGCGTACGAGTATGGGGAGTAGACGTAGTAGGCCTGGAAAAGGAAAGCTTAAATATGTCACAAAGTAAGTATGACTTGTAAAAAGGCCGTAGAAGCTGGACGGCTTGATGAAGTCGCCTTTTGTTACGGTTAAAGCCGTTTGAAAGTGTGCTCGAAACGTGTGCTTTTAAGTCACTTAAAAGTGACTTTTAAGTAAGGTTGTAACGTAAGTAAAGTAAGTTTCTAAGCTTAAAAGCTTTAGGGCGCAGAATGAAGCCTCGAGCTCAAACGACTAGGCGGGCTTAGGAGCGAAGCTAGCTTGTCAAGCGCAAGGCCGGCTTAGGAAAGAAGCTAGCAGCTTTAGCTTGTGTCGCATGCTTCGGAAACCCAAAGCATAAGCCCAAGCCGAAGTCAATGCGGAAGCCTAAGCCTAAGCCCAGGTTTAAGCCTAATCCTAAGCTTACGCCTGAACCTAAGGCTAAGCCCAAACCTCAGCCAAGCTTAAGTCTAAGTCTAATCCCAAGCTTAGTATAGTCAATCTCCCTTCTAAAATCCCGACAAAAATACCGTACCTCAGTTTGTCCGAAGACGAAGAGGGCGATGGCGAAGAGGCAGACGATCTTGGCGGACATGTTGAAGATGATGAACCGAAGCGGAGACTTGGTGTACCTTCAATCCCCATCCACCTACCTTTATACCCCAACCCCCCACTGGGTACCAGCAAATAGAGCATCGTGCAATTTCTAAAAAAGTATGACCCGCCCTGAATATTCTCTATTTTCTTTGTCGGGGCCATGGTGGCTATTTGCCGGCTGGTGGGTGAGAACAAGACCCACCCAGGGCGGTGGCCACACAAAAAGACAAACGCTTGGCAAATATGCCTCGCGGGAATTGAGACAATAGACAGTCCACGGACGCGTTTGGCAAAAAAAATTGGCGACTTGAGACCTACCTTTCACTCAAAGTTGTTCAGATGCTCCATCGGCAGTTTTTACGTGCATCGAGCCGAAAATAACGGAGGCAATCGTCAGAACTAGCCACAATTTTTTGCAAGCCCACATCAAGCAAAAGTAAATGAAAAACGTGGATAAAAAACATGGTGCTGCCTACCTACCCCTGTGTATTCTGTACTCCGAAAGGTTTCGAAAATTTTCTTTTGCTTCGGAACCAACCGTTTTCTAAGCTGTCCGAGCTCAAAAACTGGGTGCGATTCCAAAAGAATCCGCTCATATTCGGCTCGAAAAAATGCTTCAGAAAAAAATCCGGCCGAAATGACGGACCTCTCGAAAATTTCCGCCTTCAATTTCATGCGGTCTATCAATTAAATATTGCCTGAATTTCACTAATTTTTCAGGGGATCGAGAACCACGCTGTTTAATATGGAAAGGTCTTTCTATCAATTTCGCTCTCTCTCACTCTCTCTCTCTCTCTCTCTCTCTCTCTCTCTCTCTTTTGCCTCGCTTTTTCTGAATTTCATGTTTTCTCCATGAAAAAACGCCTAAAACGTCAAGATTTCGAAATTTTCATCATGCACCGGTTTCACCCCAAAAACTCGCCCCCTCAAGGATCCTCAACCACGTGCCCTCAATTACGGGGGGGCTCTGTTTCTCGCGTGCGGGTCGAATCTTTTGGGGATCGGTGGGGGAGAAAAATCTGTTCGATTTGACCGTGTCTGTCTGTTTGGCCGTTTGTCTGTTCGTCTTTTCCACCGTCCACCCATCCATCTAACGCGCGAAAAACGGGGGCTGACCCTTGATTTGATACAGGTCCGCCGCCATCCTTTGGCTACAAACAGATACTCTTTACACCCGGCAATTCTTCTCGACAGAGCCTGAACATTCCTCAAATAGACCGCAGTATTCCTTAACAATCACATTCCGCAAATAGAGAAAACAACGGCCTAACTGTCCTGACGACAATCCGACAGCTAATTTTCTATTTCTGACCAATTCGACCTGATTTTCCCGACATTCCGCGATGCTACGCCTTTCTACCGTACTCCTATTCCTCGCGTTAATTTCTGCTAGTGCGGCTAGAATCGAAGAAGATGCACTTGGAAAATTGGAGCACAAAACCTACCCCTACGTACCGCAAATTGCTTTCTCGCCCTTTTTCTGGGCCCGCCTGAACCAGGACCTGCCGCATCGGAATGAGGGTAAAAATTGAAATTCAACCGATTTTTTTACATTTTAAATGTATTTAAACACATCTTCTGCTTTTCTCGATTACGAAAACTCTGTCCTACGATATTTTTCTAGATTTTAAAACTACAAATTTGAACTCTTTGAAATCCTCGTTGTTGTCAGTTCTCTGTACATTTGATGTGCTAATCTATTCGGTGCTAATAAATTTGAAAATCATAGCGTTCCGCAAGGATACGTATTGACGCAGTGGTTCTGCGAATTTTGGCGAATCGTATCATTTCTCTCGTTTTTGGCCATTCCCGGAATTTTTTGGGCGGTTCAAAACGTGGTCTGGAAAATGTGATAAATAACATTCTTATCGTTTTTACGTTTAAAAAGTCACCCAGTATTCGTCGTTGACCATTAATGCATCAATTACAGCGCTATAATCGTTATATTGAAGTACGGTATGCATTAAAGCGCACGTTCAGGGAGGGGCCGTGTACTCGTCCCAACGTGTACACCCTATGGACGTAGGGACCGCGCGCACTGCCTGCCCGTGCTGTGGCAGGCCATTCCCCTCCTTTGCGGCGTGGGGCGCCCCTCGCCCCCTCGCCAGGTTGTAGCTGTGGCTGACTGGTATCCATCCGCGCCTCCCGAGCGGGGGCCCCGGGTTCGACCCCCGGCCGCGGCAAAAATCTTCGCTTTTTTTCAAAAAAACGTCCCTGAACGTGCCCTTTAAAGGAATCGTTTGATATACTGAATTTTGGTGGTAGTTTCTGGATTTGAAAATCACTCCCTGGTCCCTTTAAAGGTTCCTAATTTTATCTGTGCACTTACCCTTTGCAACACGACCAATCTGTCGAAGCGGGTGAAGAGGTCGTTGAGGAGCATGACCACATCCTTTGGCTCACATTGCGGAACGATCTGCTGGAACGTGGGAACGTCGCAGAACATCACCGTCGCCTCGGCGTATTCCTCTGCAAAAATAACTGTAGTATATTGTAATTGTATTTTTATTTATTTATTAATAGCTTTAGCCTCTAATCTGTAGCTTGCGCCCACTTACTCGCATCGACGCTCATTCCATTTTTCAGCTGCTGAGCCACAGAGGCTGGCAACATTTCGAAGAGTAGCGCGTCGGTTTTGGACTGAAAAACGTAGCTTAATGTAGCTTACTTGCTACCTTAGTCGTAAAAATAAGGTAAAACTATCACCTTACCTTCTCCAGCTCCAAATCCTTGGCCATCACCTCGAGTTGCTCGTTGTTGGCCTCGAGCTGGAGGCTGGAATTTAATAACTGGTAAAGTTTATAAAAGAAGGCCGACTTTAGTTCGACATCGCTAAGACGTTGCTGATTCAGTAGAATCAGATCCCGAGTAGCGTCGTGTAGCGGCATGGCAGTCAGTCGCATACCTTAATGAGCAGATGAACTTCGAATGCGTTCTCTCTGACTATCGCTCTCTCACACTCTCTCTCTCTCTTTCTCTTTCTCTCTCTCTGGTCTATCTCTCTCGCTCTCTCTCTCTCTCTCTCTGGTCTCTCCATCTTTTTCTCCAAATTTCCAATTCCTCACCAAATGACAGCAACTCCGGGATACTAGTGACGTATGGTGAACAAAGGTAAATGATGGTCTTCCCATTCGCAGCCAACATCATCTGCCCCTTCAGCTTCAGATGCTGTCCACTGTGCTCGACGTGGGCGTCGGGGCTGAAAATTGGCTCCGGTCTAGGGGAGCGGCAAGTGGCAAGCTAGCACGAGTTTTTGTATTTAAAAGGATAAAAACCGCTGTATTGCTTCATCGTTCAATGAGCATTTCGACTGTCGACTAATTGCTTTGTAAGCCAACTAACTTCCTGGTACCTTTAGCAACGTGGGCGATTGCATTATCGAAACACATTTTCCGAAAATCACTTTAGCAAAAATAATCTTGCGCAAATTACTTTTTCGAAAACCCTTCGACGATCAGAATTTCAAAATATTCGCGAAGCTCTTTTTTGACTCCGAGTTTAGAAAACTAGATGTATTTAACAGAAAAAAACTAGATTCTATCTCGCGACCATTCTGCCCGTACCGCGGCGCGGGCGGTGTCCTCGGGAACTGTACAAGACTGGCCGTTCGGCCCTTCGTCCCCCTTGGCGGGCTGTGCTCCTGGTACGGTGGGTAGTACTTTGGGGGTGTCTTCCCCCGCAACGTCTTCTGACATGCCACCCAATCATAATCAAAGCCTCCAGCCGGTTCTTCCCTCCCACTCGGCTCTTCCTGAATAGCTTGGATCGCTTTCAGGATTTGTTCTTGCGAGTCAGAGTCTTCATCCCCTTCTGATATATCCTCCTCGTCCAAATCGAAAATGGCCGACAGTTCTCGGGTCGAATCATAGGAAGAGATTGTGATGGATGGGAACCCTCTGGCACTCGCGAAGATTTGCCGTGCCCGCTTCCGACGAGATCCACGACGGGACGAGGTCGCCGAACTTATCGTATACTCACGGAAACGGGGAAGGTATTCGGGGGCTCGCAGGCTACGGTATTACCTCTCGCTGATGGCCCCGGTGGCGCTGATCGAGGCGGTCGAGCTGACGTTGGTGGCGACGCTGTCACGTTTGTGGTCTAGACCCTGACTGCGACGGAGGTCCATTGGGGTGGTTTTTACCTGAAAATTTTTATGGAAATAGGCCGTTAAAGCGCACGTTCAGGGATATGTACCTATGTCCGTAGAAAGAGAGAGAGAGAGAGAGAGAGAGAGAGAGAGCGAGTGAGAGAGTGCGTGAGAGAGTGCGTGATAGTTAGAACGGGGGAGAGAGAGAGAGAGCCAGTGAGAGAGTGCGTGAGAGAGTACGTGATAGTTAGAACGGGAGAGAGAGAGCCAGTGAGAGAGTGAGAGAGTGCGTGAGAGATAGAGCGAGAGAGAGAGAGAGAGAGAGAGAGAGAGAGAGAGTCAGTGAGTCAGAGAGTGAGTGAGTGAGTGAGTTGGAGATAGGGCGAGAGAGAACGAGCGAGTGAAATAGTGCGAGAGTGAGAGAGTGAGAGAGATGAAGAGCGGGAGAGAGTGAGAGAGTGAAAGATTAAGAGCGGGAGAGAACGAGATTCATACGCATTTTTCTCAAAAGAAGGGTTGATAAAGGCACGTGAATTATGAGAAGTCTTAGCATAAAATTTTAACCTTGGTTTTTCAGTTTTTGATTTTACAAAATATACAAAAGTATTCTACGCCCTTGTCCGCCTACCTGCAACACAAAAACTGCGTTGATAAAGTTGCAAATCATGTCAAACTCCAGCGGAATTTGCGGGCGACTAATCTCAAAGACCCGCATCAACGGTGTGCCCGGCTCGAGCAGCTCGCGCGGGACGTAGTTGCTAAAAACCCTAGATATTTTCAGTTTAACGGTAACCTACTATAGCTCACGGCCGCACTGCACAATTTTGCAGTCCTGGTCGACGACCACGTGGTACGGGAACGTGGCGATGAAGTCGGCCTGCGTCACGCGCAGCTTGAAATCTTTTCCGATCGGCGACATCCGGCCCGGGTTTCCGAGCAGTTCAGTTGGGGAGCCCTCCTTTTGGACGGTCTGGAAATGGGCAGAGACTTCAAGGAGTTCAGCGTTTATGGAGTACGGCTCACGTTAGTGCGCCAAAACTTTTAATTATCGAGACTTTTTACGGGCTATAATAAATCTTTACACCCGAATTCCCGTAGTCTAACGTACTCTGATGAGAAAGATGACGTGCTCTTCCACTTTTTCTCCTGTCGACAAATGCACGGAGCGCTGCGTACGGCCAGTGATCGTCAGCGCGATGTCGATGTTGAACACGCGCTTGGCCGCCTCGCGTAGAACACCTACACGCACAAAAAATTAAATATTATTTATTTATTTATTGAATTTTCAAATTTTTAAAAAAAATTGCACGGGAAATATGCTCGTTACGAGATTGTTCATATTCAACAAAGATCGAGTTTAATCGACTCTGTGCCTACTTTCCCAGTTTTACCATTTTATCCAAAAATTTGCATATTATACGCCGATTTCCGGAAATTCCCTGTAATTACCCTCCAACTTCCCCATACTTATAGAAAATCCACCACCCGAAAAAATATCATTTTTACTGCCCCTTTCCCGCATTCAGCGGGTTACTCGCTTCTTCCGCTTTCGTAATGATGTTTCACCCTTCGTGGTTCTTGGTGGGTTTTTATGCAGATTTCAGGGTATGCAAATCTGGTTTCAGGACGTAATTGGTCCCATGCTGACGTGGCTTCCGGTGGTGCTGTTGCCGTGGTTCGTGGCCGGATGCTGCAAGAAGAAGCCGGCCGCCACCACCACCTCAACCGCCGCCAACGTGACGCCATCGGCCGCCCAGCCACCCGTTGCCCCGGTCGGCTCGTCCACCTCGCAGCAGAAGCCACCGGTATTGTTTAGTGGATTAGGATAGGTTTAACTTAGGGCTAGCTTGGGCTTCACCTTCCCTGAGTTTAGGCTTAGCTTAGGCTTAACTTCGGCTTAGCTTAGGCTTAACTTCGGCTTAGCTTAGGCTTAGGCTTAGACTTAGGGTTAGAGTGCAGTTTACCCCCCCCCATCCGGCCCCCAACTTTTGTATCCCGGCTCCCTGATCATCTACAGGTGTGTAAAGTATACCAAAATGTTCGCCTTGCCCTGGTGAGTATTTTGGTATACTTTACACACCTGTAGATGAACAGGGAACCGAGATACGGTAGGTAGGTGCCGGTTGGGAGGGGCCGGTAAACTGCACTTAAGCCAGACTTGGTCTTATTTAGGGGCGAACTAAAGTCTAACCCTCCTACGACCTCAAAACCTCCCAATTTCTTCCCTTCAGGAGGGCGCCGTCCAACCCCAAGCCTCCGAGCCCGAAGTCCCGAAAGCCGCCGAGCCCGCCAACGAGAAGCCGAAAGAGGAGAAGAAAGAGGAAAAGAAGGAGGAGGACAAGAAATCCGAGAAGAAGGAGGAAGACAAAAAATCCGAGAAGAAGGACGAAAAGGAGAAGGAGGAGAAGAAAGAGGAAAAGGTATGGCTTAAGTGCAGTTTACCCCCCCAGCCGACCCCCACCTACCGTATCTCGGCTCCCTGTCCATCTACAAGTGTGTAACGTATACCAAAATGTTAGTCTTGCACCGGCGAGTATTTTGGTATACTTTACACACCTGTAGATGAACAGGGAGCTGGGATACAACAGTTGGGTGACGGCTGGGGGGACCACTCTAACCGAAGGTATCCAGCATCATGCAACATTTTTTCCTTTTAGCCAGAAGAACCGGCAGCGCCAAAGGAGGAGAAGAAGGAATACCCGGAAGTGAAGGAGCCGACGGCGTCGCAGAAGAAGAAGAGGGCCGACGAGATAGAGAAGGCAGGCTGGCGGAGATTATTGAGGATCCTGTTTTTTTCAGGACAAGAAACAGAAAATCGCCGCCGGCTTCTACCAAGAAAAGAGCGACGACGACGACACGCTGGAGAAGATCAAGTCGCTAGATGTAAGGAATTTTGAGTGGTGCAAAATCTCCGTTTGTCCAGATGGAGCACACGGAGAAGACGAAAAAATCGATGAAGTCCAAGAAGAAGAAAGAATAAACGGATTCACTTGTGAATTTATGTTGCCGAATAAATTGCCGCTTGCCGGCGCTCGCCTGTTATTGCTTGGCATCGAAAGAGAGTAAAATACAACGAGAGTTTTTAATTTTTACGCAAAAAAGACGCATTTGTCAAACAATTATTTTTTAACATCTTTAAACCCCATTTTTGACTTTCGCGCTTCGACATTTCGTAAAACTAGCCGCGAGTGGACGCTCCTAGCTACCATAATCGGCTTTGTCTCGCGAGTTCAACGGTTTGAGCACGAACCTTTGACAATCGGGTACAGCCCCGGCCTGCCGGTGTAGTAGTGCAACGTAATCGATCCGTCCGCGTTTTCCTCGCATCTGAACGTGGCATAAACGTGGTTTCTGGGAACACAATCTAGAGAAGACACACCCGAAAACACACCTGAAAGACGGGCCCTGCAAATTTGCCTTGTAGACGACGTGGTCGATGAAGTAATGAAGCGAATCCAGGTTGTCGAGAAAGCCCTAAAGATTTGCAGTGTTTAATTACCCGGAAATACCTTCAAATTCGGGCTCATCGCTCGCATCAGCTCATCCCATCCAATCTCCATAGTGTATTCAATCAAAAACGCGCCATAGGTTTCCCACACTTGTTCGCGAGATAATTCTAAGGAGTTTGTATAATTTTTAGCGTTTTTCACTTACTTGCAATAACGCTGACGGCGTCGATTAGGACGTATGTGTCCGCATCCGAGTAGTAATGGTTCACAATGTTTTCCTTTCCGCTTTCAAAACCGGCACGAACCCTAAAAACCCAAATTTTTGCCCTGAAAACCGAGTCTACGCACAAAACTTTCTGCCAAAACTCTTCGCCATATTTGCGGAGCATCAGCTGCCGCACACTCTCGTGGATGAAGCCGAACTGTGGTAAGAAAACAATACACTTTCAAAACTAAGCATACCATCTTGCCGAAACCCTCTACGAGAAGCCACTGGAAGGCTCAGAATTGAGAATCAAGAAGCGGATATGGTTACGGGAGGGGGGAAATGCGCGATATTTTCTCCCCTGGGGGCCATCTTGATCATCAACTATTCCGCACGCTACCTTGAGGGTCATTTCCCAACACCTGGAAGCTGGGGAGTAATTCCAAATGTGATGGTGGTGGTGGTAACCGTAGAAACCACAGCGACGACGCTGAAGCTATCCCTAAACGTGTAAAAGATCCATGTCAGGTTATTCGTAACAAATATGGTCGCCTCTTGCTTTGGTAAGAGCATTTATCCGGAGAGGGGCAGCTAAATTAAAAACAGGGCTATGTACATAGGAATACATAAAACTACAAGGAAATGGAGAGGGGGCATATGTGTATAATCTGGTTAACGGCGTGGGGGTAGATTATGACAACTAGAACTTCACAACGGAACCGGTGAAAATCGGGTCTGGGGGCGGCGACAGCGGGGAGACGGTGAGCATCTAGTGGGTAAGTGGGTAAATTCACGGTAAAAACTGGCGTCCGGGCGAGCTGGATGACTACAAAAGAAGAAGAGGAAATATCACGGATTCGCGGGGGTACCAATAGGATTCGCTCGAAATTAGCCGCAACCGAATTGGAGGGCGAGAAGGCAATCAGGAAGTATCGAATGATCGGGGTGGAATGACGGCTACCGGTCATGGGCTGTTATTGCATGCGGTCCCATCGATTAGTTTATCGGCTTGTAGAGCAGCGTGGTCACGTACTTCTTGCGATAACTAGAAAAGAGGATTTTGGGATTTAATAGAATTTATACCGATGCGTGGCCGAAAGAACCATGACGCCGTCCTTGATCGACAAGGCATAAAGGTGGTTGAGCATTACCTAAAATTCAATATAGAAAGGTCAAAAACAAATAGTAAAAAGCGTTTTAAGCTTAAAACTTACATGGTTAGGCTCCGGTAGCACGTTTGGGTCACATTGAACCGGGGTGTCCTTGTTCAGGATCACCTGGAGTAGGTGAGGTGGTAGCACGGGCGGGTTGGCCGCCTTGTCAAAGTCCCGGCGCTCAGGTACATCCTAAAAATTTGTTCCTGAACAAAAATAAACACAAACCTGGGTAAAGGTGTGCATCTTCTCGAGCTCGCGGTCGTTGGGCGTGTCGTGGCTGGCCGGTGCCTGAAACTGAGGAAATCGCATAAAAAAATACTCTAATACCTTGTTTGAGTTCCTCATAGCCTCTCCAGCGTTTGAAGAAGCCAGATCCTTGTCGAGGGCATCAAAAACCTAAAAACACACAATTTTAAAAGTTTAGGTTAATAAGTTTCACCTCAAAGTCAGCCTCGTCAATGTGAATCACATTGTTCTCCGAGCCCATCGGGTTGCCCGTCTTCGGCTGATTGTCGTCAACCACCCACTTGCCGTCGACCATGAATTTGTACTCGTGATCACCTAAAAATTAACAATTTTTCTTTTGGGCATCACATACCTTGTGGCAGATCCAAAATTGTTGAAAAATCGTTAGAAGAGCGAACGAGCGGGATCCGCCGACGCCAATTGTCCCATGACCCGCAGATTGCGACAGCCCTAAACATTTTGTAAAGAAAATCAGCAAAATCATCACTTTGGCGCATTTTGCGAGGCGCCGTGCCATTTGAACACGACCGGGTACTCGCTTCGTTCTTGTACCGTCAGACCCGCAACACATGGTAAAGAGCCGTTCGAGTCGTCGAGTGATTTGGCTATTTTGACCTAAAACGAAATTTTGTTGTGGTTGTATTCGTCAATGACGAGAAATTACACATTAGCTGAGGTAAGAAATTGAAACTCACTTGAACCGGACAGCCATCTTCGACCGAACTGCTCAAATTCGAGGGTGGATTACCGCTCGGGATCCTCATCCGACCGCCGGGGCTCTGACCCATTTCGTTTCGATCTCGCTTCGTCGTACCGCCTGGTTGGTTGTTGCCCATTCTGGAATCGTACATTATAAAGTCATCATAAGGGAAAGTTATGCTGCATAAAAGGCACTTCGGAAAGCATGGCTCGTCCAATTTAATAACGAGCTAATCCTCAAAAACCAAGAAAAGTATTTGAAATGCACGTGACAAACAAGGAATCGCTGGATAAACATGAGCCCATAGTCCAGAGGTCCAGTTGCCCTTTCCAGACGGAGAGAGGAGAGAACGGTGGGCGGTCCATGCAATAGCAGCGTAGAGAGCGGGCGCCATGACTCTAGCTGGCCAAATTTTATAAAAATATCTAAGCATACGAATTCTTCTCCCCTCTTCCATGTAGACACAAGCGACATGCATCAAACCGCTCAGAGACAAAGGAACAACGGAAACCGAAGTGAACCAAACGCAAAGTCTCCCGAGAACCAGGTAAATTCCGTAGTGCCAATCTGTATAAGCGTGCCATCTTGCCGTGACAATTGTTACGACTTTTATTCCCAATCAGTGTAAAAAATAACTGGTACTAACGGAAATGCAGCGGTAACAATTCATTAGCAACAAAAAGAATACATTTTCATAAAACAGCATTAGAAGAAGAATCCGAGAATTTTGCCTCCCAAGTGCTTCTTTCTGGCTTCCTCGTGGTCCATGATGCCTCCGGAGGTGGTGAGCACGAGATGGCCGAATTGCCGGGAGGGGAGGAGCTCGTTGGTGTACCTGAAAAAATCAATGTACTTAGCAAGCTTCAAGAGAGGTGAGGCATGCTAATAGCAAAAGGCGCAGGGTTTCACCCAAAATACTGCGATAGAAACGTCACCACCCTCATAGCGATATAAGGGTCGATGACAATTTCGCGGAATCGATTTGGAAAGCTTTGCAACGCCAAGCACGTCAGGATGTGCCCGAGAACAAAACCCGACCGGAGGCCTTCCATAACATAAGCCTACACTAACGCGCCGGAACAAACGAACTGCTTACTTCTCAAGGTCCTTCAGTTGAACATCATATCGGGGCGAGATGACGGCGCACTTGTTGATTCTGCCGTTGAGGTTGACGACGATCTTGCCGGCACGGTGGTCATCGACGATCTCGAACTCTCCGATGTATCCGTGCTTCATCATTACTGTCAGGAACCGAACGATAACCTAAAGCAAACTATTTGCGCCGTCAAATAAAATGTACCTTCGACGCTGGCCTGATGAGAACTTGGCGCTTTCCGCGCTTCTCGGCGTTGTTCATGCTTCGGAGAGCATCGGCAAGCACATTCATGCGCACCATTTCGCCGAGTTTACCTGAAAAAAAGCGGTAAATAACTGTTGAATGAGTATAGAAGCGTTTAGGGAAAATCAGGAAGCGTAGACACTAGAAGGAAAAGGAGGCACAGAGGGAGAGCAGCGAGCGATCAGGCCATATGCAGTTAGTTCAATTCATAGCAGGCGAGAAAAAGTAAATTGAATTGCCAAAATAATCATCAGCAATTCATTCGTTCAAATTTTTCGTAAAATCGAGCAGAAAAGACTTTTGGGCCGCATCGCCAGTCCCTCGGCGCGCGGCTCTCTGGCGGCAATTGGAGTCGTATGTAGCTACAGCCGGGATAGCCAACAATCCTCGCGTAACCGCTTTTACAAATGAGTTATTGAAAAAGTGATAAAAATGTATATAAAAAATAACAAAAGGTTCTATAGACTGCTAGACAAGATAGCTTTATCGAAAATGGTCCGCCTGGCACAGTTATTTAGGTCTACCCGAAACATAAATCCCAGAACAATCCACAAATCGACAAAATACAGAGTACCAGAGTATATACACAAGGACTGTCAAATTTGTGGCTTATTTAGACTTCCATTGGGGCTTCCGCTTCTCCGCAAAGGCCGTCATGCCCTCCTTTCGATCTTTCTGAACCGATATTTAGCAAGAATCCATTGTAAGGACGCCTACCGTCGCGAAGGTTGTATGGAAAAGGCGGCGCTCGAAGTGCAGTCCTTCGCGTAGCGTCGTTTCAAAGGCTTTGTTGACAGATTCCTTGCACATTTGAACGATCAGTGGGGATTGGTCGCTGATTTTCTCGCCGAGCTCGATGGCCTTGCCAAGCACTTCTTTGGCATTGTACACCTGCAGCAATCGGTTAAATATTGAGATTTACAATTCACCTTCGAAACAAGACCGGCTTGTAGGGCAGCTTCGGCAGTGATACGATTTCCGGAAAGGACCATCTCCATAGCGAGCGATTTTCCTACTGCTCGGGTTAGACGTTGGGTGCCACCAGCTCCAGGAACGGTGCCTAGAAGAAGAATTAAACGTAAGACTGAGAACGTTACCGATGTTGATTTCAGGTTGTCCGAACTGAGCATGGTGACCGGCGTAGATGATGTCGCACATCATTACGAGCTCGCACCCACCTCCAAGACAAAACCTGAAAAAAAAACGTATACTAAAATGCGTAAATACAAATACCCATTGACAGCAGCGATAATCGGCTTTCGGCACTCGGTGATCGCGTTCCATTCTTCCAAGAATCGTCCTTGATAGATTGACGCGAACTCTTTCGGCATCTGCATTGAAAAGATTAAACAAAGTTCTAAGTGGAAACTACCATCTCTTTGATGTCAGCCCCGGCAGCAAAGATCTTTTCGCTCCCCGTGATGACGATGGCGCCAATTTTCTCGTCATTGTCAAACTCACGCACCGTCGTGCACATCTAGATTCGCATTTTTTAGCTTTAAAAGAGAAAAACCTCGGCCATCAACGGTGTGCACAGAGCGTTGTGGGCTTTCGGGCGATGTAGTCGGATGAGGCCCACATTTTGCTTGGCGCCCACGCGCTCGACGATTAGGTGCTCGAGCTCTAAAATAAAAAAAAGAGATAAATAAACAAAAACCACCTACGTTTAGCCGAAGAAAGACGAGCGATTTGCCGGGCATAGGCAAAAGTTGGGCGCAATGTAGGAAGGAATTTTTGCATCTGAAAAAGGTATATTTTTTGAGGATTCCAGCAGAAATATAGTAAGGAAGCCAACGTTTGTCAACAAGACGGGGGTGTCTTTGGGGGTGGAGTTTGACCGTTCTCTGGGGGCGACAGAGGCCGTCCCGGGTATATGTTTTTTGGCTGACGATATCAATGGGGAAAGGGCCGAAAAATTGGAAGAATTGTGTACTGGAAATCCGGGCGAAATCCGCGAAGGTCGTGGGAATAGAAAAAAAGGAAAATTATGTGTATTTTTTCCAGTAGTGTAAAGTTGAATGGACTCGTAATTTGATGCAGGCCTGCATGAAGAGGACAAACTAGAACGTTATGATAAACTTCCCGTTTATTTTGATTGAAAGTAAAAAGGAGCAATTTGTAGCCCATTATTTTAGCAGGGAGAGCGTGTAATTAGCGTTTTTCATGCCGACTTTTGATGCTTAAAAATTAGTTTTTAAAGTATACGGTAGGTAAGTGCTCATTGGCCCGACTTGAAGCCTGTTTTCGCAAATGGCATGCAAAGCATCGAGCATAGAGTGTTTCCTAGTGGTTGCCCCCCGGGTTTTTGCGTCTTCATCACTGTAATTTCCCCCCTTCCGGCCCCCGTGCAACAGCGTCCCAAATTGGCACCTGGTTCTCGAGGGCGGCGGGGGGATGCGGCCCCGGCGCCCGAATCTTCGACATGGGCGTTTCCAATTAAATTTTTGAGCTCGGAATTGATTTTTGGAAGGAGATCTAGTGCCTAAATTCGGAAGTCTTAAAAAAGACCCCTGGCGGCGAAGACAATTGGCCCCCATCTCCTGAATCGACCTTCCTATACTTGAACGCATTGCAAAGCTGCTTATTAATTTCAATTTTCTAACCGCTCTGACGGGGGAAAAGTTCATATGCTGAACACGAAGTTGTCTAGCTTCTTCGCCGAACCATAACTGGCTTTATTTAAACCGAAAAAACCAAAACCGGGGTTGAAAAGCCGCTTCGCGGGTTTACAGCTTTCGCCCCTCACAATCGGTTCTCCCCGAATCCCGCCGAAAAATTTTTAAAGTGGCCTCTGCCGCTTTTTATAAGTTATTCCCGCTTCCGGCCTCTGCTAATTTCTTTCCTGATAACGATGTTCGGGATTGACATAAACAATTTGACTAGCGATGCCGCGAAGACTTACTTTACCACCTACTAACAGAAACCATACAAAAAGGCAAAAGTTTTCCAACCAAATCGCAGTGTTTTCTTATTTTTTTACACCTTCTTCACATCGGTAGTTCTTTCTTCTTTTTAAGACTTTTAAATCCGGTCAAACAAATTAAGCTTTAGCTCATGTCATCGTCGGCAGGACAAATCAATAATCTAAACCAAGTCGTCTACCCTATAGAAGCCCTAATTTATGCGTTCGCACTACCATCTGTAGTATTTATACAGGTCTTCACGCACCGGTTCCGATTGATGCAAAAGAATATGAGGTACGTTTAATAAAATGCAATACCTTTAAATTATTTTAGAGTCATCCTCATAGTGTATTTCATCTGCCAACTCCTCCTCGCCATTACGCGAACCGTCGAATTATTCTGCAAAATCACGACGGCTTGTGGGGCTTGACATTCATTTAAAGTTTGTCTTTTTAGACAATCTCGGCGCATACGATCAACTATACGTCGATACACTCTACGCGTACGCATTTGTACTGGCTTTACTGGACATGTTGAACATGATCATCGCCTTGGAGCGGGTGTTGGCCGCTTATATCGGGCAAAATTATGAGAAAAGCTGGAACTCGTATCCATTTGGGCTTTTGATGTGTATAGCTGCGGTAGGGCTTTAGATGGAAAATTCAACACACCATTTTCTAGCTAGTAGCTGCCTTGCCATTTTACTATAAGGCCCTTGATATTGATTTTTCGTTAACGAGCGTGCTGGTCAGCTTTGTTATTACCCAAATATCACTCATCGTAAGTACACTTTCGGATTAAAGAAACGATTAACTAATAGCTTCTACTCGGGCTCCGCCGATACTTTAAAAACAAAGAGAAATCGTACGAATTTGCGAGTTCTTATGAGCGATCGCACAACTTGAGCTTATTGAGGGCAATATTACCGGTATGCTTCTCTACTGCTCTAGAGACACAATTTATGCAATTTCAGATTTTCACTATCGTTGCTGTATTCCGGACATTTTCACTATTTCTTATATACTGTTCTTTGACGTCGATGACGGACCTTTTCTCGAGTGCTCACTCTTTTTTGTCGAGGTCGCTGATGCACGGCTTTAATTTGGTAACTTTCGCAAGTGTTTTGATAACCAAAGGCTCCTTGGAAGGTGTAGTAAGGGCGTATAAAAAGGAAGTACAAAGAAGCGCTTCGTCGCGGAAGCAGGCCAACGTAGAACTCCTGTAGACATCCCAAATCTGTGCGCGCTAGCAAGTTAGAATTTTAGCGACGACTTCCATCGCTGTAAAAATCCCTTCCAGACCATCGCAATCTTCGTGGCCGGCAGTCCCTGGCTTTTCCTCTATTTTCATCCACTGTACAAAGACAAGGTGCATCCAGCAACAAATAAAAAAATCCGAGGAATGCTTTTAGCTTATCAGATTGCTTCGCCGCTGGCGGGCGGCCGTCGATGTGGACCAGGCCAGGGTCCGGCCGGCAATCAGAAACAAAGAAACGGAGGAATACTTTACATACCTGTCGCAGCAGTGGAGATAAATGGCTTCGGGCACGCGGACTAGTTGCGTTTCAGCCTAAAAATGTTTTTGTTCGTTGCTGCTGCTTGCATGCCCTACCGGAATGCGATGGTCCAGTCCCCAAAAAATAATGACATTTGAAAAATCTTCGAAATTAAACTTTCGCCCGCGTCAACCCGCCCCCCCCCCGCGTTAACAAACCAGAGCCTTAAAAAGGATGACACCACCCCTTTAAAAACCGTTGTGACCTCGACGGTCGCGATGAATGGGTTTTCGTGCAACGCGCCCACCCCCACCTTTTTCCTTTTCGGTAGCCGCGCGACGATCTCGCACGGGGTGGCCATTAATTTCCCTTGTGTCACTTCGCACCTCGGCCATTGGCTGCTGGAAACGTATTTTCTAGGTGTTTTATATTTTTGAGCATTTTTTTATTCATATAACTAAAAAACCTTGGGTTTTGTACTCGCGCCGCTCTGCCCGGAAAGTCCTTTTCGAGTTGTGACATATTTTTACCGATATTTCTTCCATTCATAAAGCCCCGAAAGTCAGTTTTTTTGGACTCGTGATTTTTGTGGCTGAACTCGGAAAAAATTGGCACCTGTAGAAAATTCAGATGTATTATTAATTCAGCAATGTAAAAGACGTAATCCAACAAATTGCACCTGTTGCGGGAGCAGGAATTTGGAAGAAGACGCTTGGTTGTACATAAAAAAATATGTAGAATAACTCGGTAAAGCGGGGGTAAGTTGAAAAAAAAGATGTAATAAAAGATTCAAGTCGTGCCCTATAAGGAGCAATAACCAAATCATTGTAAACTATATAGAAAAACAAGAATATTTGAAAAACACGATGATTCGTAACACCCGCAAAGAAAGGGTCGATGACATTTAGGGTTTGGATCGTCATCCTGAGCTCCTCCTGGGCCCTCATTCTGACGCAATTTTGCTCCCCTCCGCAAATGTTGTGAGAAGGGCCCAGAGGGACCCGAACGGGCCCCCGCTCATTCGTTAAAAGGGTCTGATTTTGGACTCGGATCTCTGGGAGTCAGCGATTTATTACAGTTGGACTTCTGGTACTTGACTTTTAACACTTTTGATTCCCAGAATTTTGTAGGGAAATGTTTTCTTGCTTTTGGAATGGTTTCGGGTGTTAGACCTGACGCTTGTGTCTCCGTTAAAATTCGTCATAACGAGCTTTCGATTAATTTTGCAGAGAATTTTACCTGTATGCAGTTTAATACGTAGTATTTGGTCGCGTTGAATTCGTTCCCAGAAAACTCGACAACCCCGTGGCCTTACGGGTTGGAGAGGTGTGAAAATGAGGGGGGTGGGAGAACGGAAATTGTCGGCAAAAAGAGGTGATAGATTACGTGTGCCGCTTGGGGATTCCATAAATTTTTCTGGGAGCACGTCGGGCGTTCGATGAAATAGGAGATTTTCTGTTTATCACAAGGGTTGCGATGGTCAGACTCTTTTCCAGTTTTTCTGACTCGCAAGCTCTTCTTCTTGATTTTCCAGCTTTTTGTGCCTTCATTTGGGTAAGAAGGTTGTTTGGTTGCTTAGCTCTCCTAGCTATAGTCTTTCTCTAGCTCTCTTACTCACTCACTCACTCTCTCTCACTCACTCTCTCTCACTCACTCTCTCTCTTGCTCTCTCTCTCTCTGTCGGTCTCTCCGTGTCTCTCTGTCTCTCGCGCTCTCTCGCGCTCTCTTTTTCTCTCTCACTTTCTCGTTCTCGCTTGCTCTCCCAACTAAAAGAGCTGTACTGGTAGAACGGTGCCATTGATAACGGCTATAGCATCCTTTCGTACTCCGTGACGACCACCTACGCTCCGCGAAGCCCCAAAGTCCGCCCCTCCTCAATTTCCTCCGCTAACCACCCACCCTCAATTCGCGCCGCCAAGCCAATGTTATTCTTTGGTATCTACCGGGCGAGATATTTTGTCGGCGCCCAACTCCCCCGCCGGGAGCCAATCCTATCGGATGGGCGAATCTCGATAGTCTCGGGCCATAGTCCTCCTCTATCTTCCACAAATCGTTCGCCCCTCCTTCAATCTCCCCGGCAGATTTACACCCAATGGCCTCGAAACGAGGTGAAGATGAGGGGAGTCGCCCGAACTTTCCCACGGGCACTTGGTGCGGGCTACAGTACTTTTTTGGGGTGTCTGGGATGGTAATTGGTAGGTAGTTCTTTGGTTTTGGCAGAAAGTGATGGGCGGAACAGATCCAGGGGCAAAAATTTTTTGTGGACGAGGGGAAGCATTTGTAGCCGGTAGAGGCGGATTGACTGGCATTTTGCAGTCTGGATATTAGCTTTCAGGTTTTCTTATTTTTAACCGTCGTTCAAAAATTCCTGTTGGCATGCCGGTAATTTGTGGCTAAATTTTCGGGTCCTCAAGAGTTCCTGCTAGCCCGCCCATTGCAATGAGGTAAACTACAAAAAATTTGGAGGACGGTTTCCAATCAGGTATCTGGCGTAAAGGTATCCTGCGAAATTACCAGGCAGGCTCGACTATTTTTAGCACCTTAAAGGGCACGTTCAGCGATGTTTTTGGGCAAGAAAGCAAAGACTTTTGCCGCGGCCGGGGGTCGAACCCGGGCCTCCCGATCGGGAGACGCGGTCGCATACCAGTTAGCCACGGGTGCAAGCTGGCAAGGGGCCGAGGGGCGCCTCACCCCGGAAAGGAGGGGAATTGCCTCCCACTCCACGGGCAGGCCGTGCGCGCCGTCCCTACGTCCATAGGGTGTATACGTTGGACAGAGTATACGGCCCCTCCCTGAACGTGCGCTTTAAAGGCATCTTTAAGCTTTCCCGGAAGCATCCAATTCGGGCGATTTCAGCACCCTAAATGCTTTCTGCTAGTTTGCCGTTTTCGGAAAAGACTTTTCCCTGGGCAACCGGCTAACTCCGAAAACATCTGAAACTTTGCGCAAATTCTACCCAATTTTCTGGCATTTCCGATGACTAAAACTGCTAAAGTACCCCTCACAGCCTGCCCTAATCTCCTAAAATCCCTGTGATTTCTGTTCCCGGAAGTAATCGCAAAATAACGTCCAACTCGAGAGATTGCTTCATCCTCGAGGGTTCTGCCAGTTGCCCTTTTTGCTCGCAACGAGCCAGATTCGAAAGCTTCTGAATCGCTGTTCCGGATGAATACTGCGTTCCACAAAATTACCCTGTCGCTGGCCTGCCCTAATATCCCAAAGGACCTCTGCTAACCTACCCCGGAAGTAATCGAAACACATCCACGAACTCTGAGAACATCAGTGTTCCTAACCTTACCGGAATGCGTCAAGTACTCCACTTAATGCCGGAATGTCTGGCTGGCCGAGGGTGGATGCACATCCCCGAGTGGCCCCTAGAAAGGACCCATCACGGCTGGCACAAAGGACTTCCCCTCGCCCGGCCACCAAGAAGATCTCTGCCCTCCAGCCCTCGAGCGAAACACACGGCTTCTGCCAGAGACGCAGAGACGGCAGGGGAGGAGGAGCCCATATAGCGGCCAGCCGCCTGTCCACACACAACATATACACATCCTATGCCCCTCACCCATCCAAAACCAATATATCCAACGGGGAATTGTAGCAAATATCCCTGGGCTGCAGGATTTACTGGAAAATTGCCAATTTTTCGTGTCATTTAATAGAGCTTTTCTCTTTTTCTGTAATTTTTATAATTTAAGGATTTTTTTGAGAAATTGACTGGCGTTTTGCACTTTTTTTGTAACATTTTGAAGCCCCAAATATTTCCTAGTTTCCTTTATATATTTTCCTAGTTTCATTATTTAATACTTCTAAAACCCGTTGACCTGGACTTTTCCACATTTTTAATAGCATTTACAAGTTATTTTATAGCTTGCTGCTTAATTTAATAACCTCGACATGCAAATAAAATTTTTGCCTGGTGCTTTTACAAGTATTTTCGGATAAGTCACAAGTTTTTTGAAACCATTTCCCTGATGATCCTACTATATATAAAAAAATAGTGTTTGTGTGTGTATGTGTCTGTGCCACTTTGCATGAAACTTCCGTCATTCTGTCCGGAGGATATCTCAAGGGGGAAAGGGTATTAGGCTACGTACGATACGTCATTAGGTGCGTAATGGCCCTGAGATGACTGCACGCAGAGCAGATTTATCAAAATTGCATATTTTCGACATTAAACTTAAGTTTTTTTTGGGAAATCGGCGATCCTCTTTGTTAGGAAAAAATTAGCATGCGCCGGAAGTTCCGGGTAGTCTATATAATGTGCTAGCGAGCGCGGTTTTCATTTTTGTCATCGGAAGTCCAAGAATTATGCAAAGTGAAGTATATCATGCGATCAGACGGGGCCAGGGTTGAAAAGTCGCGAAGCGGCTTTTCAACCCTGGTTTAACTTAATAACATCCAAAGGTCCATCGAGTCGACTGAGGGCTGCGCTGATAATTTTAAGGTTTTTTAACTTAATTACATAATGTCTAGAATTTAGGCCCTTCACCAATCTTAGACTTTTTTCAGACATCTCCCCATTTTTTAAGCTCGTCTTTTCCCACAGTACCCCGACAAAATAACACGCATGTTTGCTGGACGGCTTGGTGTCCGCGCAGGCCAGCGATAGCCCAACGATGCGCGCCGCAAGTTTGCAAACAAAAGCCGACGACTGCGACCAACACTACTAAAGCTGGGATCCCCCAAAATAATTGGGGCCGGGGGTGTTTTGAGCGAGTTCTGGGTGGAATTATCGAATTTTGAGTGTTGCAGCGGGATTAGTGGGGGGCCGGGTTGCTGTTATTAAAGGGCTGCCGAGGCATGTCGATCCCCTCATCAACAAATTGGCAAGTAGCCAACAGGGGAGAGAGCGCGCCCAGGGGAGAGGCGCAGAGACATTTCCTTTTCCGCGCGTAATCGATTGTCTATGCCGTCGGCATCCCTTTAAATTGGTGAAGGGCTGAAGGGCGTGGTACTGTTGTATGGCTAAAAAGTACGTGACGCTACACTTCACGGGTAAATTTCATTCATTTTGATTTTCTAAACCCTATGTTAAGCTTTTCTCTTGTTTTTTAAGCTTTTTCCAGTTCCTAGTTTTGTAGTTTCCCCTAACTAAACAACAATCTGTGCCTAGAGGATACTTCCAGGACTAGGCCACATTTTTTTGTGTTCTCAAACGGAACGCCCTGAACCTTTTCCAGGGGACCTTTCGGCTATCGAATCACACGGGTCCCTCTACCTCCTCAGACCAGACCCTCGCCCCGCGACCTAAAGTGCATTTTTTTGGCGCTCAACCCCCACCCCTCCCAATTTCCGTCGGCTCATTTGGACCATCGGCCCTCCGACCTGGTACGATTGGCACCAAAATCACAGCTAGAAATCTATTTTTTTTTGAGACTTACCGGGTGGGGAGGCCAATTATGTTTTTTTTCCACCGGGGGTTTTGCGGAGATCACCTGCTGCCTGAAAGGTTTTCTTCATTGACTTTGGCAAACAAAAAAAATCCCCTCAATTTCATTGCATTTTATTTTGCATGCAAATTATTTACACTGCCACTATTTATCTACTTTTGAGAGTTTTCTTGCGTCCGTAAAACAATAAGCCAAGGTTAAAACCATCAGGGGAACTTTATCAACCTCTACAAAGCCCGATCAACCACCGAAAAATACCTACATCATTTTGTTTCAAGCATTTCCGTAAGATTTCCATCTGCAAAATCAGGGAATATTCCCAGAAAACCACAAAATCCCGAATTAAGGCCGTGGGAAAATTCCCCCTTTTTACCCGGTTATTCAACCAAACCTAATCCCTGCCCGAAAAAAACCATCGAGACCACCAACTTTTCATTACCATTGTCGAGTTTTTCTGCAGCGTTTTTGCCCTTTTTTGGGGGCCATTTGGGTGGTGCGAAACGGTCGTTCTTATCACGCACCCGTCGGGCGGACGTGTCGACCACACACGGCACCGCGGATTATTCGGTTCTGGTTCAGCCCCACATGTTGCCGATCGGCAGATTTTTGGTGGCTGTACGAACTGTTTGGATAGTTTCCAATGTCGTAGCAAAGTTTTGATAGTCATAAAGCATGCGCGCACAACGTAACTACGTTCAAATGGACGCTGCGTAGTCAATTGTTAAGAACGCCGCACGCCAGTGTACGCCTTACCGCCGTTGGGCCGATCAATTTACTTTTGCGGTTCCTGTTCTTTGCTTCTCGTTGCCCCTTTGTTTTCAGCTTACATTTTTTGGAGGATCGCTTTGGCTAGCGCTAGAAATGTCAGCGGAAGCCAACTTTTTTTTTCTTTGGACACGCGTGGCGGCAGCCAGATCCTTGTTTACAGCAAATTCCACACATTTGCCCACTGCGGGGAACGCCCGTAAACATGGCATAAAATGGAATTACGAGCTTTTGGCTTGGTCGTGGCATTTTACGAGGCGGAAGCGCGTAAAATTGAAGGTGCACTCCTTCGTCTCGTCTGTTTTGGGGTGAAAAAGCTTCGGGCCCGGCTTTCTATGCGTATTTGAAGTTTATGCAGCGCGGAGTTTTCCTTTTCATGCATTCAGCAAGCGGATATAATTTTGCTCGGTTTTACGGCGGGAAAGGCTCGATTTCTAGGCCTAGACACGAGCCGGGCCGCGAACACGCAACGTGTTTTCACCCCTCGAATATTTTGGCTATCGGATGGGATGAATTCGCAAGGAACATGGAAGATCCAGTTAGAACAATCTTCACATTTCCGCTTCTGTTTAGCCCTGGTTGATTGTCAGCCTTTCGGCTTATCACTGGTAGCTCCAGGGTTTACAATGTGTCTGCTGGGCACAATTTTCGAGTTTCAAGTGGTTCCAACGTTTGGAAAAAGGATTATTGATACCTCAGCTCTCGGTTTTATTTCGTATCCGCCTGCAGGACAAATACTGGCGTTTTCCCCACTGTATTTTGGAATTTCCGCCCTATTTTTTTGTCCTATGATGACTAATAACGCATATCGCGACATAATTGAAAGCTCAAAAATAGCGTGCCAGACATGTGCTGAATCACGATTGATGCTTCCACCCCTCAGGTGATCGTGTGCCCCGCGGGCAGCAGCACACACTAACAATAGGCGTCCCAAAAGTGCCCCTTACAACGACGAGGAGCGGGGAAGACCCCTCGGGGCCAGTCAGCCGACCAACACACCCGGCTGGCTGCCCGCTACTGCGTCATATTGCCACGAGTTTACTTACCCCTGTTTATCGTTACCTGGGTATTGGCTGGGGTTTAACGCCTATAAAAGTTTTATTGACTTGGAACTGTTTTTGACTGTTTTTAAAAGGGGTTACTTTTTAAAAAATCGTTTCCTTGATACGCTGCTCGCGTTTTTGCAGCTGTAGAAATTTTTTTAAAAGATAATTTTCGTTTAAGAATTCAGGCATTTTGTCTAAAGTTAGGTGTTTATTGTTCGCGTATGAATTCTCAGTTTTAGCCAAGACAACGCGCACCCCGTGAGTCCGAAACCCTCTAAAAACCCTGAATTTTCCGTTTTTTTTTTAGTTTTTCTACCCCTTTATCATCTCAATGATGTGAGCGCCGTTCAAAGACAAGAAATTCCCATGACCTTATCAGCTTGAACCCACGCGGCGCTTTCCGACCCCCTCGGCGGGCGCACACAAGCATTGCCGGATTAGAGGCTCGTCTTGGCCAAACCTTGCAAGAGGGCAAGGCGATTCTGGGGATTATTTTTTTGTCTAAATGTTGCCATTAGGGGCGTCGCTCGAGAAAAGCAAAAGATACTACGCGGGAGAACTCGTTGCAAAATCACCAGAGCACCAAAACAACCAAACGCGAATAGCAACCCCACAAAACAATCGCAACTTTTGGGAAAAAAAAAAAGGCCACAAATACACCTCCGAAAAAAAAAGAAAAGACACCGAAAAATTCCAACACTACGTGGAAACAATCACGAAAACCAGACCAGCCAAAATCCACGAGATAACCGTTATTCAACACGCTAGTGTTGGAAATTTTCTTCGAGTAGCTCTTAGATTCCTTCATTTATTTTATCGGCAGCGAAAAGCAATGAAAAAACCATATTTGTAGGCCTTTTATATTTTTTTCACCAAAAGTTGCGCAAAATTCGTTTTGTGGGAGTTGCTCAAAATTCGCGTGTTGCGCAAAATTCGTTTTCCCCGAGTTGCGCAAAATTCGTTGCGCAAAATTCATGGTCCCAAATTTTCGCCTCCGCGACGCTCCTATGCCCCTCATTTTACGTGGTCTCGCTGCTTCCGAGCTTTATGTCTTTTCCGTTTCTCATCTCTTTAAAACTTTTAGATAACTTTACCTAAATGATCGTTTGCTGAAAATTAGTATCTAGTCAACCTTAGCGCTCCTGCTCTGCCTTTAATTCTTGAAGATTCTGTTCTTTTTCTTTTTTGCTCCCTTTGCGACCATTTTTTATTAGTTTTTCAGCTATGGGTGGCGGACCTGCACCAACTTATACGGGCAAACGTATACCGATCATTCCGGATGGCGGCTGGGGATGGGTAAGCTTTTAAAAACCCTATAAACCTCCTTGTTTAGGTGGTCGTCTTCGGGTCTTTCATGATCCACGTCATCGCCGACGGCTTCGTCTACTCGTTCGGCGTGGTGGCCGAGAAGCTGATCGATGTCTTCAAGTCGGACAACACCATGTCGGCGATGACCATCGCGCTGCTCACCGGGTTGACACTTGGCGCTGGTATCCTTATTTTCTTTGTTTTACCTTGAATTTTAGGCCCGATCGCTTCCGCGCTCACGAACAAGTGGGGCTGTCGAACAGTCTGTATTATTGGATCGGTCATCGCTGCTATTGGGTAGTTTTCGCTTCAAAAATTAGGCATTAGGAATGTTTAGATGCCTCATCTCATCATGGGCCAACTCGATGGGCTACCTATCGGCTAGTGTCGGCATCATCATGGGCTTCGGCTTCGGGTTGATGTACTGCCCGGCCATCGTAATCGTTACCACCTATTTCGAAAAGTGGGTTTAATTTGGATTTAACTAATTTTTGGGTTTTAGACGACGCGCCCTGGCCACCGGAATCACCGTTTGCGGCGCTGGAGTCGGGTCGGCCGCGTTTGGCCCCATCAACAACTGGGTGATCCAGAATTACGGCTGGAGGGCTGTTTTCGTTACCTTTACCGGTAAATTTGGCACCAAATTTCCTTGAAATGTGTTTTCTAGGAGCCATTCTGACCTGCATCTTGTATGGAGCCACCTTCCGTCCGATCCAATTCCGCGAGGACAACGACGAGGAGGAGAAGAAGGCCCTCGACGAGTCCAAGGAGGAGAACGGAAACATCAAGGTATTTTTCTGGTTTTTGAGTTTTTGGGAATTTCAAACACCGAAAAATTCACGCATACGATAGACAGCTGGCCTTGTTTTAGCCAAAACCCAAAGTTTCCCGCGGCTCGAAACTTCCTGGGATCCTGGTGCGTTTTAGAAAATGTGTGGTGCTCGTCGATACATTCTTTCCCTTCACCCGGCCGCCGATGAATATTTCCGTTGTGAAAACTGAATCACTAATTGCATGGCTTTTGCGAGAGAAAAAATACAAGTGCGCGCAGAGTAGTAGTGATGTTGTGAAAAAGAATGTAGTAAAGGAAATTTTGTTTAGGAAGACGCTGCTCTGTTGTCGCCTCCAATTGTTGGCGGGCGATTGCACTCTTCCAGCTCGTCGCAGATCGATAAGGTATATTATTTTTCAAAGTAAAATTAATAATATCCTTTGTTAGAGTGGTACCAACTCGCTGAAGGGCTCAAAACACTCGATTTCGCTCAGCCAAGTTAATGGGGAACCCCGCTCTCGGTTGGTAGAACTTACTTTTTTTTGAACATCATCGAACACCTTAATAAACACATTTATAAAATTATTAAAACTCGGTTAAGGGCGTAAAAAATTAACATTTAGCTCGGGCACCGTTTCCTCGGCCACCGGATACCTCCAGAAAAAGGACGTCTTCTACACCGGCTCCGTCCACAACCTGCCCGAGTGCAAGGACAACCCGGATTACGTCAAGTAGGTCCCAAAGCCACTATATAATAATCAACTATAATAATTTTGCTGTGGTGTCCGTCTCTCCGTCCGTCCGTCCGTCTGAAGCCAACTATAACTCGAAGGGGAAAGGAGCTAGAGCTTAGGTCTCTTCGGATTCGGATAGAGCGTGGTCAGAAACCCCTTAAATGATCAAAACATTATGAAAAAGTTTTTGTTTAAATAAAAATAATTAACTTTGAAAGTGGCGCCTTAATAAAACGAGTGGGGGCCCCTCTCCCGGGAGGCCACGCCCCCTTTCTCTTCGCCTCTCTTCCCCAAGGCCCTTCCCGCGCCCAGATGCCTTTTTTGAGTTATTTTTATTCTTTTTAATACTTTTTATTTATGTTAATTCATTGTTTAAATCATTTTAAGTATCTAAAGCCATCAGGAAGGTATTTAGGTAGTTTTTGAAGGGGATTTCAGCCATGGGGGGTATCTGAAGCCATCAGGAAGGTATTTTGGTAGTTTTTGAAGGGATTTCAGCCATGGGGGGTATCTGAAGCCATCAGGAAGGTATTTTGGTAGTTTTTGAAGGGGATTTCAGCCATGGGGGGTATCTGAAGCCATCAGGAAGGTATTTTGGTAGTTTTTGAAGGGGATTTCAGCCATGGGGGGTATCTGAAGCCATCAGGAAGGTATTTTGGTAGTTTTTGACGGGGATTTCAGCCATGGGGGGTATCTGAAGCCATCAGGAAGGTATTTTGGTAGTTTTTGAAGGGGATTTCAGCCATGGGGGGTATCTGAAGCCATCAGGAAGGTATTTTGGTAGTTTTTGAAGGGGATTTCAGCCATGGGGGGTATCTGAAGCCATCAGCACGGACATTGATAAAGTTAGAGAAGGAATGTGGTGGTGTAGAATATGGAAGGTAGCCCGAAGGCCAGCCGATTACAGCCGCGACGCGGCTGTAATCCGCTGGTTTTAAGTAATTTTTAAGGCTGTCAGCCTCCAGGTATCGGGTAAACTAATCCCAGCTTCAGGCGACGGTTTAGGGAGCTAATTTTATTTCTCTATAGTTAATCCTAGTCCCAACCAGGCCATTAGTTTTAATGTTATAAATGTTGTGGGAAATAAATTTGATTAAAACTTAAATTCAGCATTAATTTTCAGGTCTATCACGTCGTTGAACGCTGGACCCGTCGAGAATGAGAAGGGGTAGGTCGTCAAAAATAAAAAAAAAACGCGAAAAGATGAAAAAGTCGAAGGAAAATAGCTAGCATATTTCATTTCCCGGTATTTAATTCCCTGTTTAGTGTCATCGCCTCGATGCTGAACTCTGACCTGCTGCGCGACAAGGCCTTCTGGATCTTTGCCATCTCGAACCTGATGACGTCGGTCGGCTTCAACTCGCCGCTCTATTTCCTGCCCCTCCATGGCAACAAGGGCCTCGGGCTCACACCGGAAGCCTCGGCTGTCGCCATCACCTACTTCGGTATATTAAATCTTATCGGATTTACATTTATTTTAGGCGTTTTCAACACGATCGGCCGTCTTCTCTTCGGTTTGATCGGCGATCTCGGAGGTGCCAATGCCGCCCGCAATCGTATGCTCATCTACATCGGATCGTTGGCGGTAATTCTCAAATTTTATTAGCTATACCGTTATTTTTTTTAGTTCTGCGGTGTTCTGACCTCCCTCTCCTACCTGTTCAGCAGCTACGCGTTGCTCTGCGCCTACGCTGGGCTTTTTGGCTTGAGGTTTAACTATTTCCGATCGGGAAAAAACCTGAATTTTGCAGCATTTCCTCGTATGTTTGCCTGACTTCCGTGATTCTCGTCGACTTGCTCGGCATTGAGAAGCTGACCAACGCCTTCGGGTTGTTGCTGTTGTTCCAGGTAGTAAAAGCTTTTAAGGAAATCAAATTTTGTTTGTGTTTAGGGCATCGGCACCGTGTTCGGCCCGCCGCTGTCCGGCTACCTGGCCGACAGCTTCAACTCCTACCACCCGGCATTTATCTTCTGCGGCGTCAACCTGGCGCTGTCTGGGGTGATGCTGTTGCCGTTGCTGAAGAAGACGCGCCCGGCCGAACAGGCCAAGCACCTGATCAGCCCCCAGGTCTAAAGAATTCCCAAGTTCTTTCCAATTTGTTACATTCCAATAGTTTTCCCTGGGGTTCTTTTGCATTATCGGGTGGGGAAATATTCCTCGAACTCAAAATCTACAACTTTTTATGTTAAAAATACAAAAATATCGTTTTTGGAGAAAAATTTCTAATTTGCGATCATTTTTAGATTCGTATATGGTTTTTTCACCTTTAATATAGCCAAAGTTTTAAGTTTTTGAGTTTTTTTATGACAAAAGTTTTAAAATACTATGGAATTATCTGGGCGTTATGAAAAACAGCTCCCCCCCGGATAATGCAAAAGAACCTTTCCTTCTTCTCTGATCAACAGCTTAATTTTGGAATTTTCCTATTTCGCTTTCCGCCGGGCTTTTCGGCGCGTACCCCCTGTGTAAGTGTGATGGCCGCTTTGGGTGAACTCCCAGCTGGCGTGCTCGCTGGTTCCGTCTCGTTCAGGTGTACTTCTCTCCCCCGTTCTAGTGCCTTTAGATTGTGCCTTGACATCTTATGTTCCCGCCCCCAAGTTTCCTCTCTCGCATTGTTTGGGTCGATCTCTCCCTCGCACCATTTTTGTTGTTAGGAATTTTGCTCGATTGTTGCCCTGCCCTTTCCCTCCACGGCGTCGATGCCTTCAGAATTTTCTTGTTCGCACATTCCATATCTTGACCTCGACACATGTCTGCCCGGCCCTCCTCTCCACATGTTGCCTTACGTTGTTTCCACACACAGTTTCTCGATAAATAGAGTCTATCAAGGAAGTTTGGCTCGCGGAGAAGGGCTTCCAAAGAAGGGCTAAAAGGTGTCCGAACAAAAAGAAGTATTGGCGGGCTTAATTGAACGTTATTTCGGCTTTATAGGTTTGTAGTGTGAACAAATCAACTCGCGATTTTCATCGCGCGAATCGCAAATGAAACCCTAGTTAGATTAGATGTAAAAGGTTTTTATAAAGGTAAAATTCGGTTTACCCCATCAATAATCCACAAGAACCAATATCACAATCAAACAAGGAAGTTTGTGAAATGGAAAAACCTTGCAAAACACGAGCTAAAAAAGAGTGTCAGCAGCCCTAATTGAAATGGAAAAAACACCGAACAAGCCCAATTTCCGGCCGGCTACCAAGCGTCTCGGTTGTGCTCTGAAATACCGGGAACTTCACCATAGCGGGACTACGAACATTTTCCACCTGCCAGCCAGCGTCAGCACGCGTCCGACTGAAAATGCCTATTTTGCCTTAGTTTGCTTCCTATGGACGAATTGATTCGGACGCTTGTGACCTGTGCAAAGGTAATACTGGGAAAATACTATTTTTAACAAATTTTATAATCGATAATGGATTCTGGGGAATATATAACAAAAAAACCGCAGCTTTTGTTTGTGATTTATAAAGGCTTATGGATTGTGGCATTTTAGGAGCTGGCTTAAAGAAAATATCAATTTTTGTCATAGATTTTACGAGTATTAAGAGCTTAATAATTTTAGGAGGCACTTTACAACAAAATCGTAGTTTTCTTTCGCTAGACCTTGTCGTTGTAGAGCATCAAACTTCCTTTACAGCCCCTAAGGCCTTAAAAACCACATTTGAACAAAGTTAGACTATATTTTTCAGATTAACATTTGTATTTGCTGTGTTTTTGTGACCGCGTTGCTACATATGTATACGAGGATCCTAAACTCCAAGACTGTACAGTTTCACAATAAAAATTTCATAAAACAAACTTTAGTTCTGCCACCCGAATCTCCGCTTCCTCCTCCTCTGCCAACCCTGGGCCAATTGGATCGGCATATTCTCGAAAACACTCTGCAATCTGATTGATCTCTTCGCGATCCCTTGCGAGAAAACTTTCTATCAATTTATTCAGAATCTAACGCTAATGTGTGGGTTGAAAACTGTAAATTTACAACGTTTTTTTGCAGCCGTTGTTAATGCGACATGCATGATGTTGCCCATATCGTTTGAACGCTTGATCGCTACGGCCTTCCCCGAAAAATACGATCGTATGAATCAAAAATATCCTCTGCTTGCGATATTTCTACTTATCTTCATTGTATGTTTGATTTAAACGAAAAAGCATGCGTTATAGATCGTTTTCTGCTTGCTGGCCGGATATCTCAACTACCTAAGTGGGTTTTGCGAAAAGCGTGCTATGAGATTTTTAGAAGTTTTCGCCTCTGGTGTCACGGATTATATAGTTTTCGGCATTCTTGTGTTGAGCACCATATTTTTCGTTATATTGCCTTTTATTACACGTCATTTGTTTCGGAAAGCCGTCGGAAAGAGGAGCTCGACGTTGGCGATGAGGTGAGCTTGGCTATTTGGTGGAGTTATTTAGTTACTTACGCGAAGTTCCGCTTAACGTATACGCGGGTTTAAAATTGGACTTCGGCTTGGCTTGGCTTCATCTATATTTCGCTTAGTACCAGGCTTACACTTAAGTCTAAACCTAGCTTAAACTGATTTTAATTTGCACTGGGGGTTCAAAAATTGGTTCGGGACTCAGCTCAGGGGAGCTAGGCTCAAGCTTACTAGGGAGGTATCTGAACTTGCCACCGAATCTTGGGAAGTCAGATACACCATTCGACGCGCCTTGATGAGAGGATTCCAAATATGTAATAAAATCAACGGGAGCGCATAACGGTAAAAAGTTATGAGGGTTCAAAGTTCACCAAATGACGAAAAACACCATCTTTGAGCCCCTGTATCATCCCGCGGAATGGAATTTAGTCTGAACTGATTAGTGCTTCTGGTTCAACAAAGAAAGCTCTTTCAAATGAGCTATATTACATACGGCTGCCAAAAAATTCCTCAGAAAATTTTTCGGAATGCGGTGTAGGGGTAGGGTAGGGTGATTCTGGCGAAGACTTTTCGAGAATTTGGCGTAAAGCGCATATAAGATAGCTCATTCGAAAGGGAATTATTTGCTGAACAAGATGTACTTTTCCATTTTTGACAAATTACATTCTTGGAATTCGTGCATAGTCTTAAAAGGGTGCTTTTAACGATTTTGTCAACTTGGAGTTAGAGAACTTCCACTCCTGAATTTTTCCCCGAGGTTATTTTATCATAGCCTGAGCTTTTTATGGGTCACAGAGTCAAGAAAAACTTATTCCCAAATTCGGAAATGTAAACAGTAGGAGCTGGGCAAAAAGCAAAAATAAAAATCGCGGCTGGGTTCCGAACCCTGGTCGTAAAACTCAGCGAGCTTTGCGCACACCACTAGGCCACGGGAGCGATGGGAAGGGCGCGCTGGGTGGGGCTAATATCGCAGCGGCCCCCTCAGCGTAAAAATTAAAATGCTCATAACTTTTTACCGTTGATTTTATTACATATTTGGAATCCTCTCATCAAGGCGCGTCGAATGGTGTATCTGACTTCCCAGGGTTCGATGGCAAGTTCAGATACCTCCCTAGTTAGGCTCAACTTTGCGCTAGCCAAAAGTTTGATATCGTTAGCCCCACGCCTAAAAATTCGCCGTATTATAACGCCATAATCCACTGAAATTGAAGCGCGTTTCAGATATCAAACCCTCGAGAGCGTCCGTTCCGCTCAACTACTAAAATATGTCTCGATCTTCAAAACAGTCTCCAACTTTCTTTCGCTCGGCGTTTATTCACTATGCTTTCGCCACGGTGGTGTGTATCAAGAATTCACGAAGGAACTCTTCTACTTTTGGATTGCGATTCTGGTGAGTGATGCTCCGCTGTACGTTGGACTTGAGCGAGCAATTTTTTCCACGCTTGACAAAGAGCCGCTGGACATTGTAGAACACTCGGCTTGTTCAGGTTTGTGCGCAGATGGTTTTGACGGTGTTGGCGCACGAGGTGCCGAAGCAGGAGCTGTTTCGGATGCTTGGCCGGCAGACGATTGTTGGGAGTGACAAGGCTGTGGTAAGAAACTTATGAAAATTTGGATTGGGGTTTCTCTCTCAATCTGATGCTCTCTTTCTCTCTCTCTCTCTCTCTCTCTCTCTCTCTCTCTCTCTCTCCCTGTCTCTCTCCCTGTCTCTCTCTCCAAAAAATCTTTTCCAGCCCCTCTCCATCAACGGCGAGCGGATGATCTTCACCCCCGCCGAAGAGCGAGAACGATATTTCCGCATGTACACCCAGGCTTGGGGATAAATTGTGCCCATGAAAGTCCGATAGTGCGATCTTTTACGAAATTCACCATGGCTCTGCAGCATAATTGTGATTCATAGCGCCGATTCTCAAAAGAAGAAAGCAATAACGGGCGAAAAAGCTTATGATTACAGCAAAATTAAATATTCCAAATGGTTCTTTAAAGGGCTGCCGACGGCATGTGTCGATCCCCCCTCATCAACAAATTGGCAAGTAGCCAACAGGGGAGAGAGCGCGCCCAGGAGAGAGGCGCAGAGACATTTTCTTTCCGATTACTGAGATACCTCCGTACGTGTCGCTATAACCATTTTTAACGTGGCTTTCTCTAGAAGCCGTCTCGCAGCGCACCACTGATTCAATAGTGCTCGCCATTCTCATTTTGAGCACGACATTTTTTATCTTACTACCAGGGTTGGTCATTTTCGGATCGGACTGGATCCGGATCTGGATCTGGATCGGATCCGGATCCGGATCCGCCGTAGGATCCGGATCCGGATCCAGATCCAGGGCGGATCCGATCCGATCCGGATCCAAGGAAATGGATCATGCAACCGAGTTAAGTGCTAATTCTTAGATGCAAAGATCAGTTCTGCCTCTGGGCAATGTATTTTTGCGATTAACATGACCGAATCAGCATCAGAATCGAGAATATTACTTCCGGTCCCTTTTTTCCTCGGATCCGCATTGGATCCGGATCCGAGCGGATCCGGATCCAGATCCGATCCGGATCCTTACCGATCCGGGTCCGTCGGTGAACAACCCTGCTTACTACCCTTAATTAGTCGATACCTATCCCGAAAAGCCGTCGCCAAGAGGAGCACGTCGCTGGCGGAGAGGTAGGCTTGGAATTCGAGGGTTTAAAGTTTAAAAAAGTTGTGAAAAG